GGAGAATTCCATAAGCAAGGACTTAGGCCTTGCAAAAATAATAGTATAATATTATTAACATATTGATGACGACACTTCATGTACCGTGCACAAAGTCTAGCCGATATGACTTGTGTACTTAACGTGAAGCTCTCTGTTTCATATGATGAACGATATGGGACGGAGAGCACCCCCCACCTTTTTGTTGGTCATTGTTTGATGGGAATCTCAGGAATTCTTTACAGATATCTGGGGGATGTGTTAGGTAACAATGGTGTAGAGTGTGTATAGGATTGGACATGGGGGTTACCCATATCGTGCACCGTATCCCCTGTTTTGGGTCAGGTCAAATAGTTTCCACACGTGACTGTACATTCAGCTGGAACTAAATGACTGAAAGTTCATGTCCGAAACTGGGCGTTTACCTTGTATTTTTCCCCTCGTCCGCAGACTAATTATGAGTCGAGGGAAGTAGGCCGGATACAGGAGGTGGGGGAGATGCTTCGAGCGTTCAGTGCCTTCGGGGCTAGCATAGCTTGATAGTAAGCAATGCTCGTTTTCCCTATAATGTTGCTCAGTATGTGCTATTAAGTTTGTTCAGAGTTGAGTTCCAGGGGTTAATAAGTCCTAATCCCCCCGGGGGGGCGCAAAGGGAGCTATATGCTCCCACCAAAAGTGGAGCAGAAAGTATTTGGTCTGTTTCATGTCATTTCTTTCAGAGACGGAAGAAAGGCCATAGCCTCAACCCTCAGGCCATTAAAACTTGCATGAAAAAATCTGAAATTATTTTTCCTTCCTCCCGCCCGGAATATGGCAGATTATTTGCAAATGCTAGTTTTACGACATTTCACAGCGTCTTTTGGGTCAAATTCTGTAAAATGTCCGTAGGGAAAGAGTTCAACTTCGATAATGGTCACCATAAGGTAAACTAAACCAACAGAATTGCATCGAAGAGTCCAATTACATTTTACATACAGAATCTTTCACTGTCCCACCTTCACCCCATCAGTCCAGGTCTGTGACGTAATTAGGGGTGGGGTGGCAGGGGGCATGTGCTCCCAACGGATGCCCATGCCCCCAGGTACCCAACCCAATGTAAAATATGTGAATAATCTCCTTTGAAATTTTCTTGTGGTGCCCCCTTGAAAAAAATATGTGTACCCCCGGGTGTCCCCAGACATTTAGTCCTAGTTACGCCGCTGGTCCAGCCCCCGCGTGTTGAGCTGATAAAAACGAATGAAACAGGATTTGTCATTGGTATTACCCAATTGCCGTTTGCACATTATTTGCCTCAAGAAGACGTCAAAAACCAGTTGGAGTACTTTTAAATGCTTACCAGGAAAACTCACGACGCATTGTGACGATGAAACTTTGAAGCATTTACTTTTTCAAATTTTAGGAGCGAGATACGAGTAATGTGACTATACATGTACTGTGACGAACAGGGAATACCATGCTTTCACTCCTTCAGCTCACATGGCACCCGAAGCGAAAAGCAGACATTATGCTCCAACAGGTGTTTAAAAAACTCACACATAAAAGCGGTCAGCACCTTTTATTCAATGGCCATATCTTACTCCTAGACATAAAATTGAAAGTTAAGCCAACTCGAAAGTTTCAGGCGCGGATCCAGGGGTTGGTGGGAGTTAAGGATTTGAACCCCCTTTCATTTTAAAAAGGTAAATAAAAAGAGGGGGATAATAAAAATAATTGAAATAGGCCTAGGTGCGCCAGTACCAATGTAAACAATGTATGCTCACGTATAACGTATCATTATCGTTCCGTTTGTCTGAACAAAATAAGACATTAAAAAAAAGCCAGAGCCCCCCCCCAACAATTCCTGTATCCGTCCCTGAGCTAGCTTCGTTTCCTACCTCAGAAAAAAAAAAAAACTTGAATCCCAGACTCCTATACTAAAGGCGTGCGCAAAACTCGACATCAGTTGTCAAGGTTTCGAACTGCTGGTATTCTGGTCTGTTGATATCACTGATCTGCGTTTCACTCGCACGAATGATCACTGTCTCTTACGGAATCGATATTCTCCGTCGTGTCTGGAATCTCCTTCTGAAGTCCCTCGAAGGGCCACATCCCACCATGGCGTTTCCATGGCAACAGCAGACATGACGAAATTCGACTATAGAGATCCGTGCTGGGGGAGGGGGGTAAGGCAGTCGAAGGAGGCAGGTGGATGAGGCCTTCCGGAGAAGACGAAGAAGGAATAACCTCTTCGTCGTGGATCGTTTCAGTCCTGGGCACCAGGACCGCTGAATCGATGCGCCGGGGCAGTGGGGGGGGGGGGTTGGAGAAGAGGAGGGACATTTGTTTACATCACCCCCGCTGTGAATGGATTGGAGTGACCTGACTTTCCTTTGTCGTTGTCGATGATCAGCCTGAACGCATTGGGCCCAGATACCAAGACACTTTTTGTTGGGGTAGGTGACCAACTTATTTTATTTTTTCAGCCAGTTGTATAAGTCTGTGCTGGAAATTTGGGAATGGGGGATGGGGAAAGGTAGGGGGTGACTTGCCCGACCATGGAAATTTGAAAAGCGGGGGGGGGTACACCATATGCCGGTACACTATATAGGGGCGTTGTTCATTATAAAGATTTACATCTGTAATTTGTATTAAATTCATGCAGAATCTTACATCAGAATGGCATATTTATAGATTTTCAGAATTGCTTTCCTTTTTGGTGATATTACAAACATTTTAGTGGTTGGAAAGTCCAAAAACATTCTTCACAATCCGGATTAATTGTTTTGCTCATCACCAAAAAAGTGTGTGGGGAGTGATTCAATAGTCCATCCCATCAAAAAGTGGGGGGGGGGTATATATCCCATCCCCCAGGGATTTACGCCCATACTTTCAGCGATCGGTTTGTGTAAGTGAGGGCTTCATGCATAATGAAGTAGGCCGGGGAAGTAGCAACACTGCGGACACCTAACAAAAGAAACACAGTGCACTGACAATGAACGCCATTGCTATTACTAGATTTTCGGTTAGATGTTCATAGTGTAAAGCCACGATGTTCCCAACAAAGACCAGTAATATAACTACAGGGGGAAGTGCCGCCCATCTGGCAAGCACGTACAGGATCGTTCCCTGGGATCCCCCCCCCATCCGTACGTGAAATCCCAAATGTACATGTACTCGACCTTTGTACAAGCCACTGTTGCTATCATCACCCACTGGCATAAAATTAATGTATGCAACCCCGTCAGAATTTTTGGCCCCAGTTACGCCACGGACAGCAACAAAAAGTGACGCAAACAAAATTTAAAAAGGCAATAACGGATAATAATAAACTAATAAATAAAAAGTAATGACCAGAGGACCAAAACACGCTTAGGGCAGTCACTGTGTGACACCGTGTACTAAGCAACAAGAAAGGGAGCGAAGACCGGAGATTTTGCACATAGGATTTCAGAAATTTCAAAGATAATAATCTATAGGCAATTTCAACAACACGATGTAGTTAGGATTTCCCCACCACTCTAAGCCTTCGATCACTCGACTTCACTCCCCATACCTTTACATTGTAAGAACTGGCAAATATGACAAGACACGACACTGATTTGGCGCTAAAAGATCAAATAACAACGGCACGATGGAGATTATCACAATTCTTTATTGAGAAAAACCACGGATATCTCCCCTTGTTATTATCATAATTACATCAAAAGGGAACATTTTGCTCCGGGGGGTGTCACGGCAGCACGTCCGGAATTCTTGGCATAACTGCCACCTCCTATCCACGTCCCAGTCCACATTTCCGAATCATGTTTAGGGTGCGTGACGCCAATTTTGTCGGCGCCTGAACTTGAATGCTGTGGGCACGGGGCCAGCCACAGCCGACAGACAACCTCGTGCAGCTGGCCCCGTTCATCACTCCGTCGATTCAGAAATAGTTCGCGTTTGTTTGAGTGTGTATCGGCGAAAATTGAATCTAGAGCAGGCCTCAGCAGCGTCTCGTCATATTGTATATTTCCTCGTGAAAAGCCGGAAGAGGTGTCGTTGATTTAGAGTACTAGATAGTTATATGGGGGGGGGAACACTAAAAAATCTGCGATCGATTTCTTGATTATCTCAGGCCACGTCTGCATTGCTTGCACAGCCGGGAAAAAAAACGACGTCTGTGAGAAATGGTTGCTATAGGCTGGGCACGCGCGTTATTTCGTCAGCATAGCCAAGTAATTCGGACATGCGCTAACAATGATCGTGTGGCAAGTCTCTTTATCGTTTTTTTTAGAGCAGCGACTCTGCTGATATCGTTCAGTTATAGCCGAGTGAGAAACTTAATTATGCCCCACTCCCGAAAGAGTGTTGGCGGGACCCTCACCGTACCAAAGACCTCAGACGTATTCTCTGACGGCTCTATAATAAAAGCACTATTGCTGCATGGAGAGCGGCACCGTAAAATGCTGTGTTTCTCAAAAGCGGAGGATAAAGGATGGTTGGGAGGGCTTAAATGTTTACTTAAAACAATAGGGTGCAAACAACCTCCCCCCCCCCGCTTGCCCCCGCTGTAGGGGAACCAACAGTTTGGACAATGTTCAGTCTCTCTTACTTTAATCACATGTCAATATCTTCTCGATTAGTTCCAGTAGACGCTTTCTCCAGTCTATGATGAACTGCGCAACCCACCAGACCCAAGTATAAGTTCATCAAGCGTTTCCTGGTGACATCCTCTTTCTGCTAGGGTCTTCTCTTTCTCGGTTTTCGAAAAGGAGCTCAACCAAAAAAAAAGGCGTAAAAGGTGCCGTTCAGGGGAGTTCTCTGGCCGTTTGGGGATTTACAGGGTGTTTGAACTGACAGGAAAAAAAAAGAGTTGTCAACTTAAATCCGACAACTGGTAAATTCATCCGTCTGCAGGCTTACCATGCTTCGCTTTCTGTGAAAATTAAAGTTAGATTTTTGTTTCTATCACTCAGAGATTTTTCTTTACATGGCACTTGTCTTGCGAATGCAATAAAAAGAATAGGTTTGGATGATCACAGACTTCAGCAAACAAACTCACGTTCACAGCTTGAGCAAAATGGCGTTTTATTTTACCATTTTTGTTTTAATAATCTAGAGCGTGCTACACGCTGTCACAAAAAGTCAATAGAGACAGCACAGCCTCGTTTATCGTGCACGACACAATATTCGGTACATTTATAATGCACACAGCTTGGTATACATGTACAAAAAAGATTATTGTCAAAGTTAATTCTTCAGCCTTTTATCTTCAGGGATCACGTTAAACTATACGTTGCCACTGACATGTTCACATTCTGGTCGTGTTAAGCTTACACAAAATACATACATTGAGTTATATTTAATTAGAGAAGTTAAAATGGTTGTAATATGTTCATGCATGTGCTCAAGATTTTCACACCGTCATACAGTTAAAAGATTCAATCTTAGCCCTTTTTTTGGAAGTATTCATTGCAACATACAGAATCTTCCATTGCCATTTTAATATTAGACACACCCATCATTTGGTGGAAATCTGAATTTACATCTCTTAGGGGAAAGCCGTGGGGATGTGTGCCAATTTTTATTTTGTAAATATCAGTAGAAATAATAACTTGAACACAATCATGTCCAGAAATCTGCTCGTGAATAAACTTTTTATCAAATAAATGCGGCCCAAATCACCTTTTTGTAAAAGTTGAGAGCCTTTGTAATTAATCGTTCTTTGTTTGTTCACATCGACTGCATGAAATGTTAAAAACTGTCAAGTGAGTCTTTAAATAAGACATTGATTCCCCCACTTCTTTACTACATTACAGAATACGATTGTATTGCGTGTCATCGGACGTCTACATGATCATGTCGAGCCTCTTGGCTTTAATCACATCATGAAAGAATTTGCCTTCGTCTATGAGTACATGTACGACACAACGTACGCGATCTTGGTATATCTAAATTCCGCTAAGCGATACACAAAGTGCTTCAGACTCTTAAGTATGGTTCATGTACAAAATGTTAAATCTTGAATTCGTGATTGGATGATACATTAAACTGTTCCCGCAACCACCACTTTTATTGCGACGCGCGCTTAGAAATATCACAATAAACAATACACAGTCACTTTTCACACTTGTTTATACTCAGTATTGAGTGCATAACAAAACATTAGCGCCACTGAAAGTCTATCTAAAATATACAACTTGCATTATTTGAAATTTCATCACTTCACTTTATATATATTTTTTGCATTTCTTTCGATATGAATGAAGCAAGGGGTTTGCATCATAGGTCCCACGAAATCTCCTCTAACCTATCCCTTCGTCTGCATGCATAATGCGTTGCATAGACCGCTCCGTGCATTCGTTCGCAGTGTAAACTCAACAATGAACTTTAAAAAAGCAAATTTGAACTTCCAATACCTCAAGCCGAACAGTAGCCGGGTAAGTATATGGTCCAGGAATGCAGCCTCATTGTGATGCCAAGCGGTTCCGTGTCAGACAGGTCCCGCGTGGATATTGGACTTGACATTAGGCTTATCGGTATAATTTACTCTCAACTGGCGCAACGCTCCACTCAACTGTTACATTCCTGCGCGGGCGGTCGCTGTCGTGTAACAGAGTTTGTTTTTTTGTTTCTTCGTCTAGCACACTCGCTTGAAAAACCATAACAGCCCGGCAGTTTATCAGGATTATGTTCATCTCAAACAACACTGACCTCACGAGGACACATACCCTATATTCTCTGCAGTAACTGAGTACATGTAAAATTAGTGGAAAATAGCCATTTCACTTGCATTAACTATTTTGTTTTTATCGAGAAAATCATATTTTCTGAGTTCTTATTTTCTGAGTGAGTTCCGTGTCTTTCGTTTGCATTTTCTTGGATCTTGATGTTTTAAATTTACCAGTAGTGTCGAACTCCGTCTGGTACAAAAGTGGCTGATGTAGGCCTACCTCAAAAACGACTATATTTTCGAAACGGCTGTGTGATGAACTCAATACTTATCTTATCAACTCAGTTTTATCAGGAATTCCTTTTTACCTTCTACGAAAGGATTTTACTAGCATCTACACAGACTTTAATGACACAGGAAAGCTTCGGAGAAAAGACCCTTTCGATATCTCCCTTCATTCATACATTATGGCACACCGTAAGCTGATTTTAAAGGAATTTGGCAATCGGATAATTATTTAAAATTTCGCCTTTTCTGTGAACTTCATTTTGTGAGCTGAAAAATATTTTCATAGACATTTTGACAGCACATGACCGCATGCCAATCCCCATTGAAATCATACCCAATTAATGTTGCCTCTTATTTTGACAGATATAAATAAACATACGTTGACGCCGCAACTGTTTATTTTCTAAAACAACTAACGGCTCTAATTTCCCAATTACAGTTGAAAAGTACAAGCGGCATGCATTAAGTCGGCTTCGTATACAACATACAGGGAGATAACAATTTTTATTTCATAAATACCACAATTTTATTTGCGATGTGCGTCTGTGTTTTTTCCTCTCAAAATATTGTCTTTGGTAATATATGTGAGCTGCTCTTTTACCCTAAATGTTGCTTATTTTTGATTGCTGCAATGAAAAGACTGCGAAAATATACTGTTTTTTTACCCACTTCTCGCTGTCTTGTCCGCGGCCAAAACGACGAATGTGCGGCAAACCTCTGAACGCAGGCCTCGACGAGCACCACGAGCAGAACAACTTACGGGTAAGTTGCTCAGACAAGTGTAGGGAAGGGATGAACAGTCTGATGTTCCAGGTAATAACAAAAGCGTGCTTAGATCCGTCCATGAGAATCCAATGTTTTTTAACCCGTCCATTACGGGTTGGTTTGCGCTGAAGGTGAACAGTCCATCAGGCGGGCTCTGCGCTTGGCCGACACGGTCTGTCTAACCGGCCAACGAACCGAGAGGAGCGTGTGATGAGCTTGGCGGTGAGTCATTATTTTGTGATGCCTTTGTGATTACCTTTCATAGGATGAAAGCTTTTTAGATAGGTTGCTTTCCACAAATTTTCTGTAGAGCTTTAATGCAGATGAGAAACTTTAATAACATAGAGACAAAGGTGTAGGTACCTTCAATGCACAAAATAATGCAGTACTTTCACGTTCGGTTTTCCACTCCACACAGGAGGAACATCTGGGACTTTCTTCGCCTTACATTTTCCGGTAGTGTCTTTTACAGACTATGTCCCCCTTGATACACGTCATGATCATCTCCGTCCCGTTCTCGTTGACCTCTCGCGTGACCACGTGGGGCGGGTCGCTCTTGTCCACCTCTCGCAAGACGATCTTGCCGTCCTCCCAGCTGACCTGCGTGAGCTGTTTGTTGCCGTTGGGCAGCATATCCTCGAAGCTGTCGTTGATCTTGAACTTCTGCACGTGCAGCGTGATGACGGGCACGTTCATCTTGATCACGAAGTTGTTCCCCTCCACCGCGATTTCGCACGTGGGCGTCATGACCTTAGCGGCCGCCCGCATGGGTAACATCACATCCATCTTTCGCAGATACTCGTCAAAGTTCTCGCTCTTTTCCAGCTTCCACTTCCCTGCAAATTTCAACAGCTCGGCTTCGTTCGCCATGATGCCCGATTGTTTGTTTCTTTAGCAAAATGTCACGTTCAAAGTATGAAGAGTGGTGTTTTCTATTACTTGTTTTACTATTTATGGTTATGTAAAAGTCCCTCCGACGGATATCTCTGGCGCTGCGGAAACCACAGTTAGACTACAGCAGAAAAAGGTCGTCTACCGGCCTCGATACGGCTGGTATATCAAGCCAGCTGATTACACTTCGGTCAAGTTCAAGGTATGATACATCCGCTGCTAATATATATTAGGCTACCAGACTTCCAGCTGCAACTCCCAAGCAAGTGGGCTTATCGTCTTCTACATGTGATCACCGTGCCGAGAACTACCAGACCTCAACGTAGAAGACTCGTGGGCACAAAAATGGTACACTTTCTGACAACTCGGGCCTTTTATCCAATTGTGGTCCAGGCAACTTGAACTCAACTATTGGGCATTATAAAAGTGCTGTTTTCAGTGAGAAACTATTACTGTGCCATGCATCACGGCTTCTCCGCCAACAATGATGAATAATGTAACGGCGCTCCAGCCCGTCTGCTCCAAGCCACACCGACCGCTAGTGAGGGGGAAAAAAATCACGGAGATAATGATGTTCAGTCTCCCACTGCCATATTAACGGAGGTAGGCGGCAATATGTCCTAGTCACGCAATGGCAAATGCTTCATTTCGGATCACGTATTAATAATGTTCCACCCGTCATCATTCAGTCACCCATACCGCACGCGCGCCCACGAGAACGTCCATTCGTCAATCGCCACTCAAGAGCATGCGCACAATTTGTACGCCGCAGTGACGAGATGAGGCAGGCGCTGCATACTATACGCGTATGGTATGAGAGGATGGTACTTTGACAAGGCAGGATAATGACAGCTTCAAGGCCAACGGATACGAACCCTTGGTAGATGGACCATCAAGTTTACTCCGATGGTTTACGCAGACGTTTATCCGGAACCCGTTATGGTCAATCAATTCCGTCGGAGTTCAGCATACCGTTGGTATTAGCCAAACTGTTCCTTCCAGCCCGTCGTTCATTGTGAATTACTCACGTACAACATCTGCTTGAATGCTAGCCTTGTCAGACACAGTGTTATCTCTGATATATATATCTCAAAATACGATGGTTGCAGTAAGCATAACGCGGGCAAGTTGCGAAGATAGTAACTGGAATACAGTAGCGTTGAGTGTTGTTAGTTTGGCAGTGTTCTATCACAAATGTGTTCGTCAGTGGGCTGTTTACGCCAGTGGGCTGATTAATTGGGTAGGTTAAGGGCGTGAGCGCAGATTACGATTGCTCAGTAATAAGGCATGTACGGTCGAAATTAATTCTCCTCGCTGGGTAGATCCTCATGGCTAGTCATTTTTAATTTTACAGTATAATTAATATTCCTACTTTCAAGGAAATTTCCCCACATTTCCGGTATTTTTGTTGCAAAAAAGTAACTAAATACAAAACTGTAGTTAAAAGCTGTAGAAGTACGTAAAAAGAGGAGAATTGAAGGTTAAAAAACGAAAAACAAAACAGGCCGGGTGCAACCTTAAATCCGCTGGTGAAAAAAAAAAGAGAAAGGCTTAAAAACAACTTATTGTTAATTATGAGCACGGCCATGACGTATAATATACCAAACCTTGGGCTCAAATTGCAACACGTTTCGCTGATCAAAAAGTAGGTCGACTTTCAAGATACTACGTGGTGTAATCCAATGCATAGTTTACAATTTTAACTCAGCGGATTCATGCATGGCGCTGTATTTATGTGCTGAAACTGTGGTCATCATGGACCTGTACGTAGGGCGCAATGTCAGCCTGAGTGAACAGCCGGACGGTTCACAGACGACAGATTCATGAAACGGCACGGAACGACTCCCCGAAACCACACAATCACTCAAACTTAGGGCAGCTGGAAATCAAAGCCGCATTTTGTAATTCATGGCTTGGCCCCAAGGCAAGTCATTGCAGACAAACAGTTTAACTAACAAGTGGTCGGACATTGAACCGACCCACATACAAAACGTACAATTGCTGGAATTCTTGTTGCACTTTTGGTGCGAAAGCTTAACTGAGAAGGGCCAGACGGGTCACAATCATGCAGCAATCACACTGACCCCGGCAGAGTTGAAACTGAATGTTTCCAAATCAGTCATGGGTGAGTTTCTAGACAAGGAGCATGGACATAAAATATGAGGGTGCTCAACTACATCTACGGTCTGACTGCATAAATTGGTTGAATAGACCTGAGAGAATATTTCTAGGTAGTATGTGGCTTCAACTTGTGGTAGAATTTTGTGCTATACCCCCAACATTATTAAAATGTTTTCAAAAGGGAATACAAAGAAAAACAAAAGACAACCCGACAAATGGTGTAAGCTGCAACTTCTGGCTTATTTTTATCGTATCTCGTGTCTCAAAGAATGGATTATGAATCACCTAATCCTTCACCAAAATACATGGTAAGAACTTGGCAGGTCAGAAAACATGTTGCCACGCCCATTTTTTTCAGTAAAAGGAATGAAAATCCCTTATTTTATAATGCGGTGAAAATCGGGGGAAGCAAATTTGCCTGATATAAAAACAGTGCCGTCCAAGTTCGATGGGTGGGGCGCACGGCGTGCCCGCCCTCTCCGATTAAATTTCCGACATGGGCACGGGGTTGCACATAAATTTATCACCGTGCAGCATACTTTCTGACATGAAAATAGACTCAATTTTGAAGATTTGAAATATGAAGGGTCAAACTGACGAATTTAATGTACGGAGAAAAACATGTACAGTAATCTCCTACTGGGACTGGGTACGTTTTCCCTCATAGAGAGAAAGGCAGAAAAATGGTTGCGAGCCCCATACGCAATATGCGTTTCTCTTATCAAATAGGTTGCGCGAGTAGTGGTATAAAGTTTTTCTGTGTGCGGGGGTACTGCTCCATGAAGATTTGAAAATGTAAGAAATACATGTGAATTAAACCATGAGGGAAGGAATTGATGCTTAAATTCATGTTATGATGTACAAAATGTACTTTATTTCAAGCAAAATGAGCACTATGCCCAGACACGCATTTCCTCGAACGGCCTCCCCGTACTCGAACTTCGTTAAGTGAACGCAACATCCAAAACGACCAATCTCTATCCTCTTGTCTTAAAAATACATTCAAAAGCAATTCTTAAGAAAATTTCGAACCAACATTTCTGACATCCCAAGAGCGCCCTCATTTGAAAGTTCAACCAGCTTCACATCTGATTCTTGAAATTTCAGAATCTTGACGATTTATTTTTAAGACCCCAAGGCCTTAGCACAGTTTAATAAGCGCATGGAGGAACGAACAGACGCGATCCATTTTGGGGACTTCACCATTTTTTCCTGAATAACGAACTCCGGATGATCGGTTCCTTTTGGAAATCCAAATACACAGTTTGCCACCTGGACTATTTGTCTATTTTTGTGGCGCAACTAAAGGGGGGGGGGTCAGCGGCGGTGGAACAGTTTTCAAAGTGGGAGGGGACAGTTGTGAGACCATCAGGCATCCTATTAATAGGCCGCTCCATTTAGCCCCGCCCCATTATATAAGCCCTGCAAAAAGTGGGAGGGGACAGTTGTGAGACCATCAGGCATCCTATTAATAGGCCGCTCCATTAAGCCCCGCCCCATTATATAAGCCCTGCAAAAAGTGGGAGGGGGGTGCCCCAAGTGGAACTCCCCCCCCCCGCTTCCCTACGCCAGTACGTAACCACCCCCAGCGGAAGTCCGTTGCGGGCACCCCTCCCGGGTGTATTACTTTTTTCGGTGCCAACTTGAAACAGCAATGTGAACCCCCGGATGCGCTCTCAGAAACTTCATCTATGTACGCTCGATGTAGCCTATAGTAATGCAGGCCTATTGTTTTGAACAATGTTCCTTTTTCTTGAACTGGGGCCTGCATTCATAATTTAATTTGCAGCTTTAAGGAGCGAAATTATGAAATTCCATTGAAGATCACAGGATAAAATTCCACTGAAGATCACATAAATCACATGCATTCTTTCTTCACGTTAAGGGATACAAAATCCGCCTGATGCGCGGACCTTTAGAGGCATTGGCACCCCTTGAAATAAGTCGACGATCCAGCAGTGGAGATATCATTCACGAACTATTAGCAATAGCGCATGTGCAAAGCATGCAGTCCAGAAGTTAACAACATGGCGTACTCAACGAACCGGCGAGTTTACATGTAGGCCTAGGTCGTATGCTGTGTTTTGTCAGCAGTAACAATCATGTTATGGTAGTAAACGTTCTACCAAAGCAGTAGTTGGCCTTGGAGCATCGAACAGCTACTGAACCAAGCCTTTGTAAGAACTTTCGTTCAAAGTAATTCGTTTCATTTGCAATTTCACGTGGCCAAACCATGCCAGGCATGAGCATTGATGCCATGTTGTATGGACGTGATGCAGGAATGCCGCCACTAGCCAAATGGAGTGTTAGTAGGCTGCTCCTTGTTTTTCGATTTTGGACGGGATCGTCATACTAACGCCTGTACATATAGTAAGGTAGAAGTGGTTCTCAAAAATTCCAAAGACAAAAAAGACTATCACCACCTACTGGCTTTTTAAGTTACAAATTACAATGCAAATGCCAAACTGCCAAAGGAAAACTTTTGGGACTTCAAATTCAATGATATTTCTGACTTCAAAATCTGTCAAAATCCGACCGTTTTCGCTCGGCAGATGCACAGTACTTGAACTTTTCGCCACCTGTACCTTTCATTTTGTAGCGAGATTTAGAATATGCAATAACTCTATGGGCAAAACATGGTCCTCCCAGAAACATGCATGAGACAGTGAGTGGCTTATACCTGGTCTGGGCACAAGACTTGTTGATCGTGACGGTAGGGAGTTCTACCAACGACTGTTTCCTCTATGGGCAAACATGGTCCTCTAATGAAACCGCAGGAGAGGCGCAAATGTAGTTGGGGCACAAGACGTATTGACCAGGAAACAGGCGTGGAGCGTTAGTATGACGATCCCATCCAAAATCGAAAAAGAGAAATACTATTAACGCTCCACGTACAGTAGACCACCACCATTATGACCACACTGGCATTGGCCCAGCCCTAGACTGGGGCCAGGCTACTGGATTACACATACGTCCGTATCCATGGCCCCATGACTACCCCCCCACCAAAAGTGTTGACTTTTAAGTCTTTGTACATGTTGTAAAAAAGGCTTCCTGTGACTATTCTGGGGCCAGCTTCATTCACCAAGCATGTTCACCCCAGCAATTTGGTTAGGGAGGCTCATAATTTTATCAGCTCCTTTTTTCTGTTTTCTTCTTGAAGTGATCTTGGACCTGTTGGAGAAAATGTCATTAGAAACATTGATATGAGTTTGGATTCCGTTGAACTCTACTAAGCAAGCAATATTGGTTTTGAATTAATTTTGGATTTTTTTGCCCTGTCCGACATGTATTTTAACACGGTATACTCAGTGTATGCCCCCGAAGGCTTGTGAAAAAAACCCCAAGCATGTTGTGACATCTTTGATATTCTTTGTGTATATTAGCATACAGTTTGAATCACTGCATGAAGATGGGGGAATTTGCCGAAAGAGTGAATTAATTAGATGAGAGAAACCGTATGAGATCGTTGACATAATAACTTTTTCACAAAGCCCTCACTTGTTCTAATGTGGGTGTAAGGCCAAAGATAGAATTGTCAATTATCATGATGCATCCAAGACGATTAACATGACATGGGTTTATCACATGCCTGTATCCGTGCCATAGAGTTTCAGAGCAGATTCCTCGTTCTGCATCCCACAGAATAATGTCGAAAAGTGCAGTCTGTAAAGCCTGTGGTTGTAGCGAGATAGACACTGACCAGGCACGGGGGAGTGCAGTATGTGTCAACTGTGGCTCGGTCATTGAGGACAATTTTATCGTCTCAGAGGTCAACTTTGCTGAGAACAGCATCGGGGGAACGTCTGTGATCGGCCAGTTTGTGCCGACAGAAGGTGAGATTTGAGATACAGTGTATGGGAAATTCTCTTTGCAAGAAGTTTCAGTCTGTGAAATGTGTTGAGACATCATGGTAGTTTTCGCCACAATTTCGGTTCAGTCAGTGTGTTCAAACAGGAAGAAGTTTTTAACTAATTTTGCTCAAAAGATAATGCAATATGTAAATATACTTCCAAAGTATTATTACATATTCGGTTAGCTGAATTGTAACACAGTCTTAAGGTCTCACTCAATATTTAGCAGTTCAACACAAATACCACAAGAACCGTCTGTCACGTCTGCCTGTAAGATTATTATACAGTGGTAACAGTCTTTTGGGTAATTTGCTTCAACACAGGTGGAAAGAGTCATTCTTTGGGGAGTTCTTTCAGACATGGATTTGGCAAGGAGTCAAGGGCAATCACTCTTCAAGCAGGTAGCATTACAATGCAACATAACCAGGTGTATTTACAGGTTTTTACACCTGTACATATGAGCACATACATACACAGGTCACAAGGAGCATAGCGTACCATGTTATATTTTTAAGCCTCCTAATGTGGGCCGTTAAACTGTTCATTTTTCCAGAATTGTTGAATCTCACCAATAGATTCTTCAGTTTTCCGATACTAACTGAAAACCAACGCAATACAGTGTACATACACATGTGTACCTGTTATAATTAAAAGCTATCCAAACGCAATGCTAACATTTTACCCGTATGAAGAAAAAACGTCAGTTTTTGTGTTACTTGAAAGAGGTATTCTGGTATTGCTAGGAGTGTTTTGGGAGAAGGTGAATTTGAATATTGGACATCCAGAATTGCCTTGAATGCATTCTGACAACAAACCAGGGCATCCAAAAAAGCCCTAAAAGGGCCCAACGGGTGTTCAGATGACACGCTGGCTCCCCTATGGCTAACATTTCTGTATTAGTTGCTCAACATGACTTTTTGGGGGGGTCTCCAATTTTTTGTGGAACTTACAGACAGAAACATTTGGATGTTTACCTTGGCATGAAACACTTTGTTCTTGTAAGAATAATTGATTCTACATGTTCCTCCTGTAGGTAAGGGTAAGATCACTGCACTGGGTGGCCAGTTACAGTTAAACCAACACTGTCTGGACACGGCCTACAACTTCTTCAAAATGGCGGTGTCCAAGAAACTTACCCGAGGAAGAAAAACCAGCCACATTGTTGCCGCGTGCTTGTACCTCGTCTGTAGGATAGAGAGCACGCCCCGTATCCTTTTGTCCCCTTGTGAGGCCTAGTGTGTTGGTATTGTAAGGGGTCTTGGGTCTTTTTTCACTTGACTATGTTGGCCTAGGTAGAAGACTTTAGCACTGTGGCGTAATGACGATCAACGTGTGCCAGAACTTGCTCTTTGTGTTAGTCAATATGGATTGGCAACTCCTAATGTCACACACCCATTTCCGTTGGGATATTTTCAAATGTTAATTTGGCAGAAGAGTTTAAATTGAAAAGGTGTCTCCATTTCAACTAGTTACTTAATATAAAGGTGGAGTTGTTGAAGGAGTCTAAATTTAGCAGTTGGTCATGTTGGTTAGCCTGGGTGGTGTTTATGCTTGAAATTCAGCGATTCATCTTCACTGCTTCTTGCTGCAGTACGAAGTATTAATGAATACCTTAGGAATATTCCCAGAACAAACACAACTCAATCCTTCAGTTTTGCTTCATGTCCAAGATCAGAGTTGCCCGCCCACATTTTACAAGCACACATGCCTCATAATTCTGTAATTCCATAGACTCTCTACCATTAATTATGTTAGCTTGGTAATACTTACATACATATGTGTACATACTTTATTAGGAATACTCGGACCCAGTCATTTCAAGTCATCCATCTTGACTCTGATCTTGACCTTCTAAGTTTGCTGAAGCATGACTTATTGCTGTTCTTCATGATTAGTTTTTCAAACACTTTCTAATATTACTCTGATCCAATTACCAATAAATGACGACAGCTTTTTTTCCCCTTTTTTATTATTGTTGAAGAACCTGTCCAGCGGTCTTTTGAATTGTGTTTTAAAGTGATGAGCTGGATGTGTGAAGTAGCTTTAACGTGCAACTTACATTTCATCTTTGAAGGTTGTAGGTGTAGGGTGTGTGAGTGTGTAGGTATTAGGAACCACTGACTGAGCAGATGAGCCAGCAGCCATCAGCATTCAAGATAAATCAAGTCCCATTGAAGGAGACAGAGACATGGCTCCACCTTGCCCAATCCTTTAATATCCTCCCAGAAACCTGTGAAGGAAACATTTTTGAAGAACCAGGGCAGGTTAGGGTCAGTGACTGGACTGGGGCTAAAAATTTTGCAATAGTCGTGCAGCAAGAACTAATTATGAAAAAACAGAATTGAAGAATATCAAGGTTACTTTCTTTTGATGTGCAGTCTGTCTGAGTCTCAAAATGTCAAGATAACCCATCACACCTTTTAATTGAGACCTAGGCTTCATGAATAAATGCCATGTTTTTCTGTTCCAGTGGTTTGAAATGACATTAAACATCATGACATGAGAAATGGTAAATTAGGCATTTATGTTTATGATGCAGGAAGTCGTTGTTTGTACAAAGTCAGGACTGTGGGCATTTTCAGCAGGAAGCATAACAGTCGAAAAATAAACTTACAACACTTGCAATAGTCAGACACCATATTGCTGCAGACACCATTGTCAACAATCCAACACACTACTCATACCAACAAAGTTCTTGTTACATGTAGTTGGTTTTGCATTGCATAGACAAACATTTGATATTGCCTGTCAAAGCCTTTGACCTACATCTTTTAAGGATGTGATATAGAATCTAGCTAGCACTATCATTTGAAATGGGCATTACTTAATCTATTAGCAGTTTCGGTAAAAGAACCCACAGTATTTCTTGTGCTGTTGTTGTGTAGTCTGAATACATCCTTTAGGTGATTTAAATGACATCCTTTGTCACAGGTATGCAAGTTTTTGGGCAAAAGCCTTATTTCAGGTTTTTTCATTTCAGTTGTGGGGCTATTTTCAGGCCTCACCAGAGTATATTTATTTAGCTTCTCTGACCTGACATGTATTTCCCAGGCCTGGACAAGAACCCGACTTGCACCCCAGTCCATTAGTAATGTATGGCTTTCCTACATGGCATTTTTTGACCTCGGGTTAGCCAAATGCTGTACTCTAGGATCTTTTCATAGAATTTCATAGAAATATTCAGGGGAACTCCTATTTGTTGGGTTGCATACATGGATGTGCCCATGTAGATGTACATGTACATCGTCGCTTATTTACTTTGTTGCAGAGGCTGTACATGCACATATACATTAGTTTTTAATTTGTGACGGCCTGCAGTAGATTCAATGCCCATGTGATTCATATTATCATGTAGTTAATGCCAACTATTCTGTACAACTTCTGTGTACAGAATTAGCATAAATGCAGCTGTTATACATCAGGGTTCCCGCAGCCTGGAAAAGTCGTGGAAAAGTCACGGAAATTGTTTTCATTTTCCAGGCCTGGAAAAGTCATGGAACTTTGTAAATATGATTAAAGTCATGGAAAAGTCATGGAACTTTGTAAATATGATTAAAGTCATGGAAAAGTCATGCAATTTTTCAAACACTGTGTGATTTCTGTTATCAGAAATAACCTGCATAAAATGCGTGATTTTACTTACAAACTTTAACAGTCCGAAGAGTTCAAGAAATTGCATTATTGGGTCATGGATTTTCATAATTTGGTCATGGAAAGGTCAGGGAAAAGTCATGGAATTTAGTTGTCCTTTAGGTGCAGGAACCCTGTGAATGATGTTGAAACAGAATAGCTTTGTGGAAAACTCACCATCAAATATGAAATATTTGAAATAGCAAAAATAGCATTTACTTTCAAGGCTAGTTTCCAAACTGTCTGTTGGTTTGCATGAGCTCCCACTTACTCGGTAGTGTTAGGACAAAAAACACCAGCTGATCCACACCCAATTTGCCGCCCTAAAATAATATTTGCCTTTCAATGAAGACACCAATTGCCGTAGGGGCGCGTCACAATCGGAAGTCCAGGTGAATGGGATGACTTAATCGTTCTCTCCACGTCAGTGAGCTCTAGTGATCACTTATTCATCCATAAAAAAAATTGGCCAGATTGTTTTTTTTTTAGAGTGAGCACTGCTAATTGGCTTGGCTCCAAACGTAAACAGCTTTTGGGTAAATGCCCACTAACAGAAACGACCACAGCGCTTCCATTTAACGTTACTCAATTAAACTTAAAATGCTTGGTCCCAAACCGTAGGTCGCACTGGCCAGTAGCATTGTAGATTTTAGCAATTAAAATGGAGCTTAATCGGCCTTGAGAAAGGAAAAACTGCAGGCAGTGTTTGATGAATTACAGTCCCAGCGTGAATGTTTGCAGTAATTCCATGCCCTCCAGCATAGATTACTGCTTGCGTGACTGTGGTCATTAGACAGTGGTTCCCATACACTTGCACATGCTTCACATTACTCACTCTGTCGTTTGTCTGTTCACAGCACTTTAAATCTTGCATAGCAGTAATTTTGCTTTTCTTATGCTATTTTTCAATGTTATTTATGATGCAGGCATTAAACCTGTTAAAAAATACACATACATGTATAGAAACTTCAGGGTCCCAGCTTGCAAATTTTAAAGTCAAGTTTCAGCTAACTTTTCATTCCTTCAGCGTCATACCTTTTGACTGCAGTCCTCGATACAAGTTTTGCCTCACCAATTGCTCAGGTTTGTTACTGAAATGTGCAAACATTTGCCATTCGGCGACTGACTGTTGGTAGGCTTTACTTTGTCATTATTTGAGTAGAACATTGATGCCTTGGCAAAGGTTGGGCAGGATTCTGTCCAAATACAGGGAGAGGTGTGGCTTTCCCAGCAGGTCAATAGTGTTATTGAACACCGCAAATTCAGTGTATGTACAAGGGTTGGGAGCGGCATATGGCTGTCATATGAGCCAGCAGAAAACTTGTCACATTTAGATTGCATGTTATTTTGTTGTTCAAGAACACAACTCTATGTCTTGTGTTTTATCCAGCTTTGCTTCTTTATCTGGTTGTGCTCCTGTCTTATCACATGCTTTGGAAATCTTTGATAGTGATTTGAAATGCCTTTGCAGGTGCACTCTGTAACCTTGCACTATGACTCGGTCGATACATGTACAACACACTCTGGTGTTTCTTTGTAATGAGCTTAGGGCTGTGCCGAATATCTGAATATTACAGCTGTTCACAAATTAATTTATTCATTACAAAATTTGAAAGCACAAGAAGTATTGTTCATCTCTAAATATTGCTAAATCATGGCTGGAGATACTCCCAGATGTGAGAAGCTTTTACAGTGATTAAAATGTACAATTTTGTGTTTCATTACAATTGATTTTGTGTACGGATTGTTCATCAACAATCTGCTGGTTGGTACGAACGAATATTTGGATATTCAATCGAATTGAAGGTCGAATATTCGAATAGTGAATTATTCAAATTGACTCAGCCCTAAATGAACTCATTGTACATAACATCTCTTTTTGCTACTGGTACATTGATTTATTTGTATACGCATTGCACTCTCTTTGCCAGTCTAGTAAATCAAAATGGCCTTTAATACGTATGTGCTATTGTTTCCAACAAATTACAATAGACCGATGCTTTCATACAATTTTCAAGTGTTTGGGCATTTATGGTATAGTGAACAATGGAACAAGACAAGCATGTTTGCTTCAAACATGCTTGTCTTGTTCCATTGTTCATTACATACGTGTATATGTACAGTGTACTTGCCTTGGTCAAACCAACTGTAAAACTTGAAAGGGTAACAGAAGTAGAAAATCTTTAGTTCATAAGAAGTATTTTAAAATAACACTAAATACGTAACCATTTCAAAAACATCGTAAATTTAATGTTTACTACATTAATTGTGATCCCAAAATGAATACAAGATGCTGCATTTCACCGCCCACAAAAAATCCCCATTTGGTCGTTTGCACTCCCAGGCTGATTGGCTGATGTCATCGCCTGAATGCTAACATGTACAGTGTACATTGCGCATAGCACATGCAGTATTGCAGGCTTCAATAGACCAAGTTACGTTTGATGTAGCTTGGCCCACAGGCAAACACTGTCCTGGTTCAAGATAGAAATTAAAAGACACAGTGCTACCGTGTATTTCTTGAACTGAGACAGTGTTTGCCCTGTTGGTCGAAGCTACATCAAGCACAACATGGTCTATCGCAAGCATGCGATACTGTGTGTGCTGTGTGCAATGTACATGTACACTGTACATGTCAGCGTTCTGGTGAATTGCAGCATCTTTTTATTCATTTTGGGTCACAATTAATAGGGTAAACATTAAATTTCTGATGGTTTTGAAATGGTTACATATTTAGTATTATTTTAAAATTCTTCACATGAACTAAATGTTTTCAATTTCTGTTACCCTTTCATTGTATCCATGCATCTTGTTGCAGTGAGTTGCTCACCTTCCCCTCTTCAACCGTAAAAAGTTGATACTCTAAATGCCTTAAATAACCCAGTGCCAGGTTCAAGTAATAACATGCAGAATTTGATATTTTACTTAGTTTTTCACCATAAAAAAGAAAAACTTCTGACTGCATTGTGGTTTGATGTCTAAAAATTATGCCAAAAGTAAGGTTCTACATATTGGTGATAACAGTTTCAGTTTTACGTAAAGCACTTTAAGATCTTGTCACAAGCCTTTAAAATCCAATATTCTCATGGTGTGCCTGACGGATGCCATCATTTCCAGCACAGAGCCAGCTGTCTAAGACCTGTCAGTTCCCCTGTCAGCTCACAGCTACTCTCGTTCGAGTTTCTTCAGTCTTACAAAAATAAAATCAGCTGCCACCACCCAAAAAGGTGACACAGAAAACTGCTCACATGCACGAAACAGAGCTTGCAGTTTGCCCCCCCCCAGCCTAAAGATGTCCCAAGACACAACACATACACAGACGCGGTAATTTTCCCAATGCCCCCTGGGTGCTGTTTTCATGGTGCAATGTTTTACGATGTTTTTCTTACCCCTTGATAATGCCTGGAGAAAACGTGCTCATGCGAGCAGGCACACTTCCTCTCCTGGATGGTTTATTTTCATTGAAATCTCTTGTGATGCATGAGAGAGCCGGTCTCAGGCGTTAAGTAATTCCGTTGCACGGCTGGTCTTGCCTAAAATGTAATACGCAGAAGCCGAGGCCACAACAACTGTGAAAGCAAATAAGCAACGGCTTTTTGGACCAGCTTGTCGCATCGTCTTTCTTCACGTCTGGGGAGAACGATGTAAGCGTGCCAACAATTTGATAAATGCGAGTAAATTTATTACTGCCTCTGTAACATCTGATGCTTTAAAACTGTTTATAGCAACGGTGAAGTCTGACCAAAAACATATATAGTATTCCAAGTCTTACATGAGTGCAGTGTAAAGGATGACGGATATCTTTTGTATAAACACGAGGGAAGAAGCTCAAAAGTTGGACATAAAGGCTCTGTTAAATGAGGATGTCAGTGAAATGTAAACATATAAAATTAGAACATTCCAGGTGTGGCATACAACTTCTTGTGTTGGTCCCAGTTATTTTCAGATGTGTGTGGTCTGTTTATTAAAGTAAAACTGACCAATGTAATGTACCTAGGGGATGAGCTTAACCTGGCTGGGTATAAATCACTCGGCTACGGGTTCGAAATTACACATGACTTGGGGTACTAGCTGCAGCCACTATCATAAATGCCTCCATATAATCGAGCCACAGCCATGAAATTTGGACATGGCCTGTCTTTGTTATTTCTTCACGTTATGCTCTTGACTATTGGGGTCAATGTCACAGGGCTGCTGAGCACAGAAATTCACAAAGCAAAGAAAATATTTGGTTTGCCAAAGTTTATTACGGCTAGAAGGTCATGTATTCTTTGTTTGGTCAGCCATGTTTTTATCTTATTTTTTGCTTTATGTGGATTTCCTGAGTAGTATTTTCCACTTAGCTGCTATGTGAAATATTTTTTTAACCCTAATGTGATGTGGTCGTTCTGTCGCTTACATTGATTTGTAGCCTCTGAGTGCCAAGCAAAAGCAATATTTTTACCTCACAATTCACAATAAGTGAAATTTTATGAAGCTTTTAACATTCCTGTCCTGTTCAAAATTCTAACAAAATTCTGTTTTGGCCTGACTTTCCATTCTTATAAGTGCACAATGAACCCTTTTAAACTGTTCCCAAAAATAAGATAAATAAGAAAAATAATTTTTTTCAAACTTGTAGCTGGGCACGTACATGCATGTGAGTGGAGGTAATTTATCCACTTAGAAAAAAGCTTAAATATTAACATCAAAATTTACCGAGATTTCTTGAAGTGCGCCATATGAGGGCATACTCAGCTAAACTTGTGCCCAGTTTCCAGGTGTCACCATTTTTGAATCTCACTTCATTTCGTGACACTTTAATAGTTGACAAAGATTCAACGACATGTATTATGAAGGCAGGAGCAGGTACTTAACTGAATAATTTGGGGTTTTTTCAACAGAGGTTTAGTAATGCTGCAAGAGGATAGTCAAGGGGAAATGTCACAGTGTGTTATGTTAGGGGACTCCAGTAAAGAGCAGTTTTGCAAGGTTTTGAGCAGCAAAAAGAGAAGAACTCTCATAATGTCTTCATTAGGCAATGTATTGAGCAAATGGCCTAGCATGGAATGCATATGTCTTTGGTTATGATGTATTTCAACTTCATTTATAAAAACTACTATGCCACCATTGTGCTGTAATTTGCATTTATACATTACATTTATACATTTTTTTTTTATTGCATTTCCTTAACACAAGTTCTGTTCAGATATGCTTTTGGATCTTAGTGATTTGCTACAGGTAAAACATATGATCGTGTCTTGAACTCTTAGTTATCAAATACGGCTCTTAAATTTCTGTTTGCGTGCGTAGGGGGGACAGGATGCTGATGGGAGCTACCGTGGACTCCATGCAATGATGATAGAGGGTGCTTTGTTGCATAGCAACCGGGTCCTGCCTTTGATAGCTTATCCACAATTTGAATACAGATGCCAAGATGTGCGGGTTCTTTTGTGGGTGAAGTACATATGTATGTACATATGCCAGCCGTATATAGGAAATTGAATTGGACTGACCCGATTGCTGTTGATGCTGCTCTATTATTCAAGATGAGCCAGTTCAGTACATGTACTCCATCAGAACATGCTCAAAATAAACGCTTCAAATGGAGGTCTTCCAAGAATTCAAAGCATTCCCTGGGATTTTTGGCAGGGTATATCCTATAAGTAACAGAAAGTTTACCCTCAAAATTAAAACTATTCATGGGTTTCACTACGTTTCTACAGTTGAGCATCTTGATAAAAATACCTGCAAGAATTTTCACGTTACTTGTCCTGATGACTCGTAATTGTGTATTTATCATGGCCTTGAATATTGGACAACAGAGGGCGTTGTTTTCAGGACTTGCCATACGTGAACCTAAAATATCAGAATGTTTAAATCTTCTAAAGAAACCTTTGTTCAAAAAATAATTAGTATAAGCCATCAAATTAGATTAAACTTTATTAACATATTGTACAGGGTACCGCTACACTGTACAGTATACATGCGTTCTGACTGCATCATTATTTAAACACTTGTTTTAATGTTGCAGGTAAACGTTTATGTACTGGGCAAGACATACCTGAAGCTGTCACAAGAACTTCATATCAAAGTGCCTGCAATAGGTAAGTCTTCGCGTTTATGTATATATTCATGTATCATGCAGGCTTGTAAGGAGCGTCTTAACCACTACCAGCCACGCGACCCGTTATCGAGTACATAGGCTTTATATGCAGAGCCGGGGAGCCCGGAACTGGGACAGAAGATTTGGGCCTTATAACAAAAGACGGTGCTCAGCACAAAAAACTGAGCTGCTGGGCATTACTGACATTTTTTCACTCTCAATGGTGGACATAATCCAGCCTTGTTTTGAAACAGTATACCACAGTTTGAGGCATTTAGAGCGAGCCGATTACCACCGGGTACAAAAGCTCTCCACCACCGCAGCGATGAGCCACACAGCACCGCTGCACGCTAATCTGGCTCCTATTGAAAAGAGGTCAGCAGTGCACTGTGCCGGTTTCGGGAACAAAAGAATCTTACGTAATACCGCAAAATTTGGGCTCTTTTTCCAAGGCTGCAGGCCTGGCTGAAATATTCAGGAGTCAATGAATTTTACCTGTCAGCTTTAGAGTAGTGCCCAAAAAGTCCTTCATTTTGGTATAAATGGCCATTAAAGGAAATGATGAATTTTGAAGAATTTTGAAAACAGAAAATCTTGAAAATGACCCGGCATCTTGTCTTGCTCAAGAAAAATCCACCCGGCAGCAAGTGGTTGAGGTTTTTTCTTCAGCCTTACATACGTTCCATTTGACAATCTTGTCTTCAATTTTTGGCATTTAATTTCACCCCACTGTGTTGTTCCTTCAGTGTGTAGAATTATTCAACAATCACAATAAGCCATTTGCGAGTTAAATTTGAAGAAAATCTGGTACACTAAGTTATCTGATTGCACTTAAACATAACAATTTGAATTCCCCAGACTAAATACACTGTTGGTTTACCTTATGATTCGAGGCGAGCGTTTGCACAGCAACCACCATCTCTGGAATGGACTGGTTCCTTTGAGCCCTTCTAATCCATTGCAAACAGTGTATTGGTTCAAGGCATCTCTTATGTAACTACAAGTAAGCACAAGCTTGCCCTGAATCACCAGCTGGGGCCAATTTCATTGAGCTGCTTAGGCACAAAATTTGCTGAAGTGCGAAAAAACCTTACTTGATAAATCAGGTAACCAGTCAAAACTCCATGTGATGTATATTGTTTTGGGATTGTATTTAGCTGTTTTTTGGTTAGCATGACAATCAGAGAGTTTGAGCTGGTAACCTAGATGTCAGAGATGCACCAATCACCACACCTACATGTATATCTATACCATACCATGCACACTTACGTACAGGTACCCTAATATCCCATGATATGTGTATTGGTATTGTCATACATGTACATGAAGGATACATGTATGGTACACGAAAGGACACAGCACCAGTAGGTGCAGATAACTGACTTTGTTCTGACATGTCTTTCATTTATTTCATTGAACTATTAAGTAGTAAATATACATTGCTATAACTCTGAGCCTACATTGATTCATCTTGAACCCAAGCTACCAGTAATGTACAAAGTAACGGGCCCCTAATTTTTTTCCCTGAATAGTAGCTGTCAATGTGATTGGATGGAAGTTATTTAGTGTTATTATCATCACTGGGGCTTCCTCCTGACAGACTGTATGGTGTTCACCTATTTGGACTGGTATACATGTGCATGTAGACGAATCCACTGACACTTCATTGGACATTACTGACGGCCCCCCTTCAATGGTTGTACGCATTGCATAGGGTTTTGTATGAAGTGACTATCACGGCAATAGCTGTCATGATACTTACCACCATTAAAGGGGGCCAATGCAAACGACCAGGTGTTATGATTACCGGAAAATAAAGTTACATTTACACAGAGGGCAGTGTGTTTCTCACAGACTCACAGACTAAGTAGAGGCAATTTACATGTATATGTACTACTGGCGACAAACCACTGATCACAAGGACTGGGGAACATCCTTTGTTTCTTTTGTGTTCTGTCTTACAGGCTAAGTACTAGAAAGACATGCAGCAGTTCACAATTGGTGTTTCTAGTTCATGTTCAGAGTTCAAAGTACATGCGGATTTCATGCAGTAGGATTCTTAGAAAAGAGCTTTACCATGTTTACCCCGTCCACACTTCAACATTGGCAATAGGCCCAGGTGGATGCAGTGCTTTCTATTATGCCACAGGATTCCATCTCAGGATAGAAAAACCTGTCCTGTTAGAAATCACTGGATAATTTTTTAGTAAGAACCTTCCTATCTCTGCCACTGTGTAGGAAACGAACGGCGCATTCTTTGCATTGGCACTTGAACTTGAGCAAGGGGATTCAATCCCATTTTCCTAACAGTAAACCGGCCAAAACACTACATGTACAAACCTGACTATATTATGCAAAAAACCGGTACTTGTCCCACTGACGCGTTACACTTTTGGCAAGTTACACTTGATCTATAGAACCATGTGATGACTAACCTGGAGTTACTCATGGGATAATACAAGTTTACCACAGACACAAGAAGGAAAAGGCCGGTGTCATTATCCCAAATGTTATTGACACCGAGTAGGCACATACATGTATGTATATTGAAAAATAACATTTTGCAGTCCGTGGTGGAATATACAGTATGCACCTGCACATGTACAGTACCAAGGGAGTGCTCTTTTCAAAGACATGAAAGAGGCAGTGATTTTATTTATAGGCAGTTGCTGGATTGTTTGAAATGACACTTCCCTAGGTACATAATCTGTACCTGAAAAGAATGGTAGAGAGCAAGTGATAGTATTTTACAGATTTCATACATCATTTACGTGTACAAGTGAGTGTGGTTTATCCCACCCACCCCCCACAATAAGAAAAAATTCCCCACCAGTTGTTTTACGGAGAAACACTTGCAGATTTTGAACAAAGTTGTGAGTTATTTCCAGTATTGTATTTCATGTACAGAAAGTTACAGGTACCTACTTTTTTTCACTAGATCATGTACAGTAGTAGCTTGCAATTTGGGTTTTGCCCACAGGATTAATACATTGCCACACACTTTAGTCTACCTTTAACTCTCTGTTAAATAAGGTGTCACAAGAGTTTTTAAGGATTCATTGAAATTTATCTGTTGCAGTTACTAGGTCCAGCCTCATGCAAATGCACATTAACACATACATGTAACAAAGCAATCTGCAATAAAACACAGTGTAAAAACAAGATGAATACTTCACGTGCATGCTCTTACTGAACCTGTCAGCATTTTGGTGTAAGTTGCTTTTCACATGTCAAGTACATTTATTCACTAATGCACTACATGTACATGCATGAACATTACAAACAGGACAAAGGTGCTTGACTAGCTTGTGGGACTGTGATTACATGTACATGAATTTGCCAACTTGCAAAGCTGAATGCAAAATTAACAGTGATGAGAATCCTGTACATGTGCAAAGCCTTTCATCTAAGTGTACCTTTTGAAAAGTTCAGACCAGTTTTGTACAATGTATTCAAGTCCATCACAAGTCCCTTCACAGGTAAGTCACAAGGCCAGTCATAAGAAACAAGGTGAACAATGACAAAGGAATGCTTTTGTCACAGATCATTTGAATAGCTTGTGAATTGGCTTAAGACTGAATGAGTTACAGTGTATGATGGACTTACAGAGACTTGTAGGAACTTGTGATGGACTCAAATACATACATGTACATTCAGATGCATGTACATGAATAGGTAGATGTACATGTAGGCACCTGCATTCAAGCCAATCTTCGTATGCATTTTGCTAGATCCTAACATGACTGCAAAACCCTACCATGGAATTTTTTCCAAATTTACAAACTCAATTACATTTCTCCCTTGAAGTCTGCTTTAAGGAAAAAATCATAACAAGCTACATGTACAGGCATGACAGGTGTATGCAAATACAGCCCACAGTCATAACGAATTAGTAAAAAGCCAGTTGAACAAGACACTTTTTGAGAGTTTTGTGTTCATATTATAAATTATGCATAGAAGATCAATTCAGGGATTTGGCCGCCCTGGACACCAGTGCCATTTGTGCTTTCAGGTGAGCATTCAAACTTGAAGGTCACATGGTGGTCTGTGACCTCTGTCAGGCCTTCTTGGCCAAAATAGCTCAATTCGGAACCGCATAGTATCACACTGGCTGTGTAGTAGACACGGGGTTCAACCTGCACTGGATTAGGGAACATGACCGGGAAGGTGTTGCTGGAGCCGTCCGAGAAGAAGTTGGTCTGTGCCTCGCCTAGAACCTTCCCACTCTCGCTCTGTTTTAGTTCCATCTTGATGCCGTAGTCCGCGGCTCCCGAGCTGGAGCCGTACAGCCCGTAGCCAGCGATGAAGACGCGCTTGTCCACGGAGAACTTGATGCTGTCGCATCGGCCTCGGTATCGCCACTGGTTGCTGCGATAGGCTGAAGATTGGAAGCGATGCACCTTGCAGGTACGCAGGCCCTTGCGGGGGTGGCAGGCAAACTGCAACTTGGGCTTGTTGGCGGCCATGAAGTGGAGGAACACATCGGTGGTTTCCTGCAAGGTGAGCAGGCCACACTGGGCAGCTTCGTTGGCATACTCCTCCACGGGCATGGTGGGGATGCGGACCAGGTACAGTGCCTTGCCCAGCACCTTGCGCTTGTTCTCTGGGTTGGGGTACAGCCCCTTGCGACTGCACTCTGCGTCGGCCCACCGGGAGACCGCCCGGAAGAGCACAATCTCCTTGATGTTGAGTGTCTCACGCATCAGGATGCTCTCCAGGGTCTTGTAGTCGACCTCCAAGAAGCTGTCGGATGCAAGAGCCACCTCGGCCTGGGCATCAATGACCTCCCAGCAACGCTGCATAAGATCAGGCTCCTCGAAGAGATGGCTTTGGCTCAGTAAGACGCAGGCATTCTTAGCACTCAGGCTACGCTCTAGGAAGCACACACAGGCTTGGGCAAGGTGGGGCACATAGTACTTCTTGGCAGCATACAGAGTGGTCAGAACATTATCTGGAGTAAGGTCCACTTCATCGCAGTACAGGTATCTGTAGAAGGAGTCATTCAAAGAAACAATCATTTTGGGTTTTTTCTCAGAATTGTAATTCATGTATTGTACAATACACGTACATGTACTTGTACATTGTACGTGTACGGTATGTTCATCATACATTGTAATGAAACCAGTACCTCCAAAATATTTTATACACACACTGTTGCCAACAAATTATGAAAAACCATGCATTATGCGTACAAAAGCTGATATGTAGTATTTACACACATACGTGTGTAAATGTGCGCATGTTTTCTGGATAAAAAAAATTCCAGACAGTGATTTCCATTTGTAAAATCCACTAATGTGAATCAGCTGCATCATTTCATCATCACCATATCAGGCTCATTCTTTTTCTGCATTATGCATCACTGAAAGTGTATCCCGACATACTGGAAATACATGTAATTTTTGTCTGAATCATTCTTTTGCATTTGTCAGTTCTGTCCCATTTCATCACATCACATTACGGCCATTTCCCCTGTAAACATGGTAAACTCTTCAAGCTTTTCACTGATTCCCTGCAGACTGTGTGGTCATTATGAGTCATGCTAATCAAACGGTTGTCTGATTGTGGTGATTTCTGGCAGCCGGTGGGCATTCGGCATTTGCAAAGGGAGCGAGTGATTTGGTTGTTGGATGAGTCATCAGAGCACGTGTAGAAGAGCTAATGTTAGTTACTGGAAATTTCAAGTTGGGGTTAAGGTTCACCATGAAAATGAGGATAGGCTTCTCAGAATATGAACAAAATGATAAACCACATACCACGGTACATGTACATGTATGTGCCAATATACTAATGTTGCAATGCCTTTGCAGTAACAATAGCATGAATATTATTACCATGCGGCATACATGTACATTGTAGCAATAGTGCACTGTGCACACAAGTACACTGCACCAGTACATGCATACTATGCACATGTATGTGTACATGTAACATTTACGCACATGTACATGTAAATGTGCCAATATACTAATGTTGCAATGCCTTTGCAGTAACAATAGCATGAATGTTACCATGCCGCATACATGTACATTGTGGCAATAGTGCACTGTGCACACAAGTACACTGCACCAGTACATGCATACTATGTACATGTATGTGTACATGTAACATTATGTCCATGTACCTGTACATGTGACAGTTGGTTGTTCAAATTCTCTTCATTTAACATTGATGTGTTTTTGTGTATTCAGTGTTTACAATACATGCAGACACGTGTAAGTACTGGATGTGCCATTAAAAAGCATTGAACCAAAGCCTACATACATAAGGCATGTGACAATTTTTTTCAAGTTACATGTAGTCTGATTTAGATGTAACATACATGTATGCCAAAAGATTTGAAATAAGCTTTCTAATGATACCGAAAGCAATGTTATGCGATGTTGGGTTGGGGAGTTGTGATTTTTTAAAGGGTTTTAAACGGGCATACAGTTGTATTTGTATTGAATAACATAGCAATCTTCTAAAAAAACTGTGACCCGCAATCCTTGATTTACATGTACGTTATGCCGCGCCGCCATAAATCACAGCAATATGGCTAGCACAGCGCTTGCACCACATGGGACTGAACAACCCGTAGTCCGAAAAAAAAAAAAACCCTTCAAAGCTTCAGAATTTGCTCAAATTACACCCACTTATAGCTTAAGAGTTATGTTTCACAACAATTCCCTTAAAATGACAACGCTTTGTTACAAATCAGGATTAGTTGGGTGGAATTTCGAGCTTGAACTTTAGCGGCACCGTAATGGCACTTCCTGGAGGTCGATCAGAAAATGTCGAAAACGAACATGAACTTCGTGTTTTTCACATTACATATTCATTAATTTGCCAATCAGCTGCGCGAAATCTAGACACACCTTCTGCAGGCAGAGAATCAGGCTGACACTTGTGTGGGCACCTTTCGGAGGTCGCATGCGCTGCATGTTTGCACATACCTACATGTACATACATGTGCATGTGCATGTACATACATGTAAATACATTTTTCGTCTGGCAGTGCAAGTTTTCTAAATTGTAGGTTGTACATGTACAGTATGTACCCATCTCTTCTAAAACGAAATTAAAAAACAAATATCCATGGAGGTCAACTGTAGTTACCTACAATGTGTACATCTACAGTGTTTTGGAAACATCATACAAACTTTCAAATTGTACTGGTACATGTACATGTACACTGTAAATTCTGAGCCAAGATAGAATTACGTGGCATGAGATAAATTTGACTTCACTGTATACATGTACATGTACATCATGATTGTGCTTGTTTTTGTACATATGTACGTACACATAAACAATGGCTCCACATGCAGCCTTTTTTAAGTTTTCAATCCTTTTGTGTCTTCTGTTCCACCTTAAACTGAACTGCACTTACTTGAGTAAAGTGAGGAAGGCCTGTGGTTCAACATCTGGTATGACAATTTCTGTCTGGTTCTCAGCAAGATCCCCATAGAACATAGCAAAGAATACAGAGCTCCCAGATGCTAGGATGTACTTGTGCGCAGGCACCCGTTGCTGCCCGTTCTTGGGCCCCACCAAGAACTTCACGTTGCTCATCAGTACATTGTTGTACAGGCAGGCATTGCGTTCCCTCACCGTAGCCCCCTTGGCTTGCCAGTTGTCACCAAGAGGGCGCCGGGGCGCAATTAGCATGGGACTCGCTGGCTGGATGACGTTCTGGATGGGTGTGCGATTGTCCTTGGATGGAATGGCAATAGGCAGGGTGTTCTGGGACACACCCTGGGTGGGGGTATTTGGGATGGGGCTCTTGGAGGCTGTTGGTTGCTTAGGTGGGCGGGTGTCCACCTCGCGATTCTCCCCACCGCTGAGATTCTGCAGGTTTGGCTCTCCAAGATTGAGCGCCTCCATCTTGGTGGTATGGTACAGGCGCTTCGTAACCAGAGTAGAGTTGTGATGCCAATGAAAGGAATCACCAGTAAATCAATGTGCTGCCTTGTCTGCCAAAAATAAAAATGAAATCAAGTTTTTTACTAACATCTGTGTGTCAACTTCTGCACTGGGCACAATTGCGTACACATTAACCCTAACCCTCCTCAATCCTTCACCTGTTGGAGGATTGAGGAAGGTTAGGGTTAATTTTGCTCCAATTTGTTGTAAGAGCCATGCCAGGTGTTATGGTACCTTTCCTAGCACTAGATTCTACTTTCCCTACAAATCAATTTTAAGAGTCAGCTATCGGTATCATTTTTTGTATGTACATATGTAATGTACATGTCCAGATATTGGCACATTGGGCCACGTGTATTTGGCCTTGTTGTTAAGGTTTGCAACTCTCGATCATACTGTTTGTATGCCGTTCGTATAATAAGGGTTGAAATCCAGTAGCTGACAAGGGTACCGGTACGTAGAGGGGGCAGATAATGAGGCCATGGCCCCCAAATTTTTGTTTTGTAAACAATGAGAGGCATAGTTTTGGGGGTCTATTTCAAGTTCCTTCCAAAAGCATGTAAACACCCCCCCCCCAAATGTACATGTACAGGTAGGTTCACACTAGAAAGGCCATAAAGTTTATGTCAAAAAATTTCCTGAATTGTGGGCCCTTCGAACAAAACAAGTTAACCCCCGTCCCCCTCTTGAATGTTTGGTTCTGGAACTGCTCTTGGTGGATGTACATGTATGTGTGGACATAGGCCTGCATATGTACATATACATGAATATGTGAACTTGGGCAAGCTACATGTACATGAACATACATATACATGTACATGTACTTTACCCCAACATGTCTCTCTCTACATGTACTTATACCTAGGAGTGCATACATGTACATGTACTGGTGCAACATGCACATGTACATGTGTAAAGCATGTGTTTGGGTACATGAACGTGTACAACGCTCTGCTTGTAGGGGACTGTTTCAGGAGCGCTGCCAAGTATTGTCAACTACAGTGCACCATAATTTTGCAAGACTACGCAACTGGCAGAATCGTCGCATGCGCTATTCATGAGGAACTGGTTCAAGGACTTTCATGTACAGTGTAACATGATGATGGGAAAAATGGTTACAACAGAGCCCATGACCTCACAGCCTGTTTAACCAGAGCTGCTGCCCACTGGAGCACAGTGTCACTTTGAAATGGATTCAGAAACTTAAAATCTTCTGTATGTCAAGTTATTCCAAAGCAGCAGAGGGCTGCAGGCGCAAGGCACAACTGGGACACTGTCCCCAAATTCAGATAAGTCCCTTTATTTGGAAACCTTCTCTCTTTCAGGGGACTGATTTTGTCTCTGAATAAAGGGACTTCTGTAAGTTTGGGGAAGTCTCCCCTGAGAGTTGTGATGTGCACCCCCCACGGAATGACAAGAGGAGGTTATAAATAGGCCTACATGTATGTGCTATCGATGCTGAGTACCAGTTACAGAACACGGAAATTTGATCATTGACTGAATAGGATATGAGAAGTCTTGTTTGATTACCGGCTACTTGTCTCCCCTCATGAAAAAGAGTTGGTTATCTGTCACTTTGATCAAAGTACAACACTTGTAAGACAAACATGACAATCATAACAGTCAGTGAGAATCTTAACAAAATAACTCATGTTATTTCATACTGTACATGTTGTTAGACACGTTAGAAGTGAACATGAGAAAAGTAATTCATACACGTAACTGCTACTTATATGTATAAAAACAAAACAAGGAAGCAACAAAAGAAGACCACTATAAAAAAAATTGCATTGAAAAAATAAAAAACATCAATGACACTTGACAGGGAGAATGAATTTACACAATGTACAGAGCTGCATCAACTCTGGTACTGCTACTTTTCTGGAGGTTAACACTAAACTACAAGTGTACACATGAACCAGAAACAACATCAATTGGGAATGCTGATATCAACAATGAATTGAAGGGGTTTGCTTACTTCAGAGACAATCAGAAGATGTACATGTACTGTACTTCCTGGCAGCCATTGATTACCCAGAATGCATGAGACCCAAAATGGATTGAACCATTTTGTTTTGTAGGGGTGTGTCAATCTGAGGGGAAATAATATTCTGTGGGAGTGCATGGATTTTGTTTGTCTGTGTTAGAGATGTCACAATAACTATTGCATTTTCATTCTTAAGTCAGTGTATAAATAAATCTTAAGTTCCATGATGAAAACATTTCCCCCAGCTATTTTGTATGACAGGCTTTTGCTTTGTACTTGTAGAACACTACAGCAGAAAACTGGATTTCCTTGTTAGAAGGGAAATGTAAAATGTGGAGAATGCATACATGTACATCATTATCTGTACAATTTCTGCTTCCATTATAAAGTACTACATACCGGTATGATACATGTAGAAAGGTACATTTTTTCCCAGAAAGGGAAACTGTTTTATTTCTAAGCTCTTGTCCCCCCAATTTTTTTTGTATTTTCAGAGAAATCCTGTCTTTTTCATTCCTTTTTTTTTTTTTCCAGATCCATGCTTGTATATCCATCGCTTTGCCCATAAATTGGAGTTTAACGACAAAACACATGAAGTCTCAATGACGGCATTGCGGTTGGTTGCAAGAATGAAACGGGACTGGATGCACACTGGGCGGAGACCGTCGGGTCTTTGCGGAGCTGGTACGTTCATATTACCATCTTTTCTGTAGCCCTTGGTCAAAATTGGTTGCCTGTGGCTGTTAGTGACACATGGGTCTGTGGTAAGGAGCCGTAGCCACTACCTAGCTAGTGGCTTCCATACATGTACATGTACTGTATTTGCACATATATGTACAATGTACATTTAAATGTTCTTGCCTGCCAGAGCTATAATTTTTGGACGAAACCTTGGGTTGGTTTAAGTACATATTGGCTCATTGGGTCCTTCGTGCAGTGAAGGAGGTAGTTTCAAAGAATCATTGGCATTTCATGTAAAGAAATACATGTATGAATGTACAATGAAGTGTGGAATGTTTAGTAAATGTAACAGTTGCACTTTGTGTAAATGAAAAGGATCTTGTGCTGTAAAAGGCAAATTCTATTCTGATGTATTATTTGACTTATGAAAAGGCAATTTTAAGTTGAAAACTGTGGTACGTGTACAATGTACGGTATCTCAGTTTATGAAATTTTTGGCAAATCACCGCATGTAATTAATCATAATAACAATAATAACAAGTATTTATACTGCGCCAAACCAAGCTCACGGTCCCTAACATGGGATCAATCACACAAACATAACAGGGATGGGTGAAATTCAGCAAAAGTACCAGCATGTACATTTACATGTTGACTAGAGAGAAGAACCTTCCAAGCAAGGAATTTAAAATTCCTATTGAGTTCTGCTTCTTCAACTTGAAAGGTTTAAAATTTTTCTGCCGTTTGGTGTCTCTTTCAGCCTTGTTGGTTTCTGCCCGCCTGCATAACTTCAATCGGACACAGAAGGATATTATTCGAATTGTGAAAGTCTGTGATGCAACACTCAGGAAAAGGTAGGAATTTATTCGATGATCAATAAACCATTTGCGAGTTAAATTTGAATAAAATCTGGTGCACTGAGTTTTCTGACTGCACATAAACATAACAATTTGAATTCCCCAGACTACAGACACTGTTGCTGTAGCTCCTGATTCAGAGCAAGCTTTCGCATAGCGACCACCATCTTCGGAATGGACTGGTTCCTTTTTGCCCTTCTTATCCATTGAGAACAGTGTATTGTTGCAAGGCGTGTCTTATGTAACTAAGCAAAAGCTTGCCCTGAATCACGAGGTATAGCAGCAGTGGTTTTAGTAAGGAGAATTCAAGTTGTTAAGCTCATGTGAATTTAAAGAACTCAGTGTACCAGATTTAGGTCAAAATTAACTCGCAAAAGGCTTATTTCATGCTTACTTATCCATATTAAAAATGTACAAACAGTTTTGTATTTTGCAAGTTTCTAGGTCATTACCATTTCTTGTTTGTATGATTGACTCATCTGTATTATCAATACAGTCACATTGCATAGTTACATGTATCAAGAACTGCATAGGCCTATGCTGGTATCTTGACATTTTTAGACATTTACTAGTGTTTGATGAACTGTAGAACTTACAGTACCGTACACATAATGAAAGTTCTGTATCATTCAGTAAAATACACCTTAGTGTACATGTACCTTGAATTATTGTGAACATTGTGAGTATGAAAATGGTTTAAATGTGAGTAATTTTCAGAGAGTAAAGTAGCTCATGCTGACTCATCCTTTGTCATAATACAGCTTACCAGAGGTTGTTTTAATTTATAATGCCACCATGTACATGTACTGTCTACATGTACATGATAGCAATACAATGTATATTTGGAATTGCCACACAAGAAACATCAGCCAGTAAGGGAAAGGACACATCAAAGAGCATGCTTACTTCATTTTGTGCATTGTAGTGTGTGCTGAGCCTCGGGCTTGTTTCTACATTGACTCAACAAACCTTCCAGGAAGGTTTTTTATTTGATAACTTTCTTGTAAATTCCTCCTTTCCCCTTTAGTTGTGAACAAAAATCACTCTCATATTGATCAGATATTATGTTGAGAAAGATTCACACACTTGAAGCCTCAGGAGCAGTTAAAGCCCTTAGGCACTTTTCAAAGCGTCAAAATGACATTTTTACTGCTCTGAAATGTGTGGTTTTTAAGAGGTAAAATCTGCCAGCTCATTGCTCGTTTCTTGTAGACTTACGGTGCACTAAGGGTAATATTTATGATTCATAGAATATTTTCTTAACAGTAGTTACTTATCGCCATCACCCTCCTTGCTGTTTGTAATCTTGACAACCACTTTTTTCTTTTTTGGGGGGATTGCATTTGACCAGTTGGCCAGTCACATGCATGTATGTTTCTCTTGCACTTGTTGCATTGGCCAAGTGATAAACTGCTGACCCAAATGCCAGAATCAACGTCATTGGTGGGATTTGGTGGCCAGTCTTAAATAGTTATTTCAGTTGCTATAGGTACATGGATTTTTTGTATTTTCATTGTTGTTTGGTTTTCCACCATTACGCTGAATGTAAATTAGCTAGTCCTCCCCTTTGGCGGTTGGCCCTCTGTGAGTTGCTCTGTTACAGTTTTAATGTTTAATAATTAAAGGTTTGATAATTAATGAAAGTTACCGGTAATTCTTTGGTTTATTTCATTTTCCTTCCTTCCAAAAGCTCCCAAACATGACGTCACCCCTAAGAAAGGCCATAATCGGTTACATGCAAAAATATTCACATTTTTGGCCTCTTAAGAAACAAGTTTATTGCCCCCAAAATTTGGTTCTGGATTTGCCCTTGTACCTAAACTGCATGACCAGAGTATAATCATGGTATGGGCACATATACATTTAATTACCATTCACCCATATATGAAAGAGCTTATTCAGACAGGAACGTCCTTGAAAAAGAATATTTGTCCATTTTATTAATTAAAGTCAAAGAATTCCAAAAGTCCTCAAATTTCAGTGCCTGAGATTCTTATTATTTATGTAATAAAGTGGACAGGTGTCAGATTACGGTACTGTAAGTTAAGGGTCATTCTGTAAATTCCGGGTCCAAAAGTGTGACTTTTTTAGATATCTCTGAAATTGATTTCAAACTATTACTATTTGTTTGGCAGGTAATTTGCATTCATTCATCACTCTTGGAAATTAGAAAAATGTGTTCTGAACTTACCAAATCAGATGTCCGAGGTGACAGGTACAAGAAAAAAATTGGACCCCTAATTTATAGAACGACCCTTAACAGACTGCAAGCACCTGTACAATTTAAGGCCATTTTATTTGCATATGGACCCTTTTGTGCAGTATATGTACATGTACATATCCACATGTAGGCCAGACTAAGAGGATGGCCCTTCATGGAATGTCAATAATGTCTGATTAAAGTCATCACAACAATGATATTGGGTCTGCAACCAGGCCAGGGATAAGCCATATCACTTTAGCCCACACAAGTAGAATATGCACATGTAGTATACATGTAGGTATGTACATGTACATGTGCGTTTAGGCAGCAGTTACATGAATTACTTCAGGGATAAGATTTGTCAGGTTTTTTCCTGATTTCAGGATTTTTTGGGTCAGGAATTTCCAAAATTCAGAAATTTTCAAACAATCTCTTTCAAAATGTGGATCAATCCTGGTGTACCATGATAGTGTTTTTACATACATTTGTATAAACGTTGACACAGAGCACAAGACATTGGTCCATGTATTTTAAAGGGAGCCTTTGTCAAACACAAATGTACATGTATGATTATTATTGACCCGATGGGGCTGAGGATCCCTAAAACCCACTAGTGATTATGTCTTGAATATCTGCACATCTGAGAACGGTTCATATTTACTGACTTGAAGGCTTAAAAGGCATAGCATAATTAGCAAAATAAAGACTTTCAATGCGAAATCAGAATCCCTGTTTACAGGCACATACCTAGATTGCACCAAGGAATTGACATACAATAAAGAACATGAAACAAACACCAAGGAAGTGGTACTAATGGTTGTGTCATCAGTCCCATTTTTTGAGTGCCATACATTATTGCAGTTCCTTTCCTGGGATCGATGGGTTGAAGAACTTGAACTAGCCCAGACAGCATGGACTTGTTTTTTGTGGGGGGGAGGAGGGATGGGAAGGCTTTTGAATCATAATTTGAGGGAAGATGAGTCATATAAATCATTTGCTGTTCTCAGTATTAGAGCATGCCCATTCTACGTGAAGAGCTTCATTTCCCAATATTTTTTGTCCTTTTTTCTTGGCAGGCTCACAGAGTTTGAGGAAACACCTTCGGGTCAGCTAACCATCGATGAGTTCAATAAGATTGACTTGGAGGAAGAGCAAGACCCACCGTCATTCACAAAGGGGCGTAGGAAGTTGAAGATTGCCCAAGTAAGTAAACAAATTAGGCCTATCGGCATAATTCCAACATGAGCCAAGGAATTCTATTGTATCATTTCTTAGTTAACTTTACAAGGAAATTGAAGGAATTGAAGTGAGAATGATACACATGCATAAAATACATCGTAGTAGTCCCTAGTGCAAAAACACTGGTTGAAAGGTGGTCTTGACACATGCAAAAAATGATAGGTTGAAAAACCTAAGACAAATGTGCTAGTGGCCTTGGTCTTAAGAAACCTACATGCAAGTGTCAAGTGCACTCAAACCATTAGGAAGCAGATTTTTTTCACCAACTGCAAGTACTCGTTTACACCTTCAAGAGAGCGAGACAGATAATTGATGTCAGTGCAATCTGCCGTCACAGACCCTCATAGTAGTACATGTATTTTTATAAACACTGGAGATTAGTCGCATAACCCTCTGTGCAGTGAACTTACTGTACTTTCTTCCTTTTCTTTTTTGTCCCCGAGTTGAGTATCCCTGCTTTACTTTCTCCAGGCAAATTGTAACAGGAACCCTGTGAACGGAAACTGTAAGAGTAGTGGTGAATTTAGGGCCCGTGATGTTTCAACTGTGATATCACTTTTCAGTATAAGTGTGCCTGTCTAGATGGCTACTAGGTGTGAGTAACGCGATGCTCTGGCAGCTTAAATTTCCAATTAGGAATAAAACATCACTACATGCGAGACTTTTAATGTAATTCATGTGCAGTACTCAAGACGAATTCAGATGTGACGCTGATGCCAAAAACAGTGAGAAAAGAGAGTGGGGGGGGGGAGAATTGCCGAAGATGAGATGTGTCACTTCTTTGACGTGTGAAGAGAAGCTATGCGTGCATTCGGCAGGTGATTGAATCACTGAGGTGTCCAATTTAAGTGTTTTATCATGGGAGCTGTTGAAAAGTTGCTCGAGATCCGCAGACAGGAAGGTATTCCAGCCCAGGATATATAAATGGAAGAGTTATTCCCAGAATAATGCTCAAGTAGCATTCTTCGGACATTTATCGTATGCCCCTTTGGGGGGTAGTAATTTCAGGTAGCATTATTCAGCTGGTGTAGAGTTTCGAGAAATGCCTTTTCAACTGTGTTTGATTAAGATAGAGTGAGAGCTTCCCCCCAGAACATAGCGCAGTTTGAGTTATGCTTATAAAGTGATCAAACAGAAGCAAGCTTAGAATTCTGTTATCATGGATTCCCCTGTCAATGAGGTAATGTATCTGTCTGTCTGTCTGTCTGTCTAAACATGAAACCAGGACAGATGGGAAAATGCATTCATGATCAGCTAAAATACCAGACAGTGAATTCCTCTCCCTCCACCCTTGGCGTTTCCAAGTCTCTTACCCTTTAACAGAGCAAACTCATCACGTTCGCCTCAAATTGTCGGGGGAGGTTTAGGGTTACCCGTGGCAACCGGAGGTATCACATGAGTTGGGAACATCTTCCCGGAGAGCGGGGTTTTTCGTTTCTGCTTCATCTGTTATTTATAGTGTGCAAATTGTTTCAGGGGTGCATCGCAAGGACTGCTGTCCGGAACTGTGAGTGAGAAATCATGAATGTTTGACAGCATTGGACTGGATTTATGTGTCAGGGAGCCGGGGGGGGGGGGAGATTTGCAGTGGATATTCAACTTCGCAAACTTTGTTGGGATGTTTGAAAACACTTGGTGGTGGTGACACGGAGATTTCCAAATGGAGCTGTTCAACGGAGTGTAGAGTTGCGTGTATGTTGTATACAGCCCTGAGATCACACACCATACATGTACATGTACTCGGTATATGGACATACATGTACATGGTGGCTCCCCTTCAGGAAAAACACTGATAACATGGGTAAATTTGTACCCACTACCATCAAAACCCCAGCCAGTCCTGGACAACTCAGCCTTTTATTAATTGTTTTATTAGTTGTATAATAATACTATATTCTTAAAAAGTGCCTTACATTGTCAGAAACTTTCCAAGCTCGCTACAGTTAGATAATATTACAATAAAAGGAAAAGAAAACAATTTTAGTTAAATATACAGTTTAAAGTTGAAAAAAGCTTTCAGTTAAAATTGAATGATTGAAAAATTACATATAAATAAAGTGAATGAAACTAAAGTAAAATTGGAATTAAAGCTGAATTGAAATAAGATCAAACAAATTTTAACTATATAAAATGCTGCTAAAATAAGTAAGTTTTCAATGAGGATTTCAAAGATTCAGTCATGGTCTTAGTACAGATTGTGTCTGGGAGCCTATTCCAGATGTATGAGGCAGTGACGGCAAATGCATACATGTATATGACTAAGTAAACAGTGCTTTTTAAAAATTTTCATTGTGATAGGAAACACAGCTGTTTTGGCTTAAGACACACCAAATGTACACCTGTCATCTGGTTTACCGATAAAATTAACCAAGATTACAATTGACCAAGGTCAAGTTTATAAAATCACCTGGAGAAATTGTCATGGTCGTAGACCATGTCCATCCAGAACATGGAAACGTACAAATGAACTTGTACAGACCAATTGTGCCATCGAGTCTAATGCCTCCCTCCCCCTGGAAAAGAAATGACTAAGATGCATACATGTACATGTATATAACCCACATGTTTACTGCACATGTAAAACACATCAAGCATTGTGAAGAATATCATGTGTATGTACTGACAGAGGTACATGTACATGTATATGTAAAAGATACATATCAGCATAGGACACTTACTTTGTATCATCACATTGCATCAAGAATAGTTAATTGACTTCCATGGCCTTATAGTGAAAGGGAACTGTTACGGTTGTACCGGCACCCTAATTGCAGTCAGACAAGCAGTATACGTGTACAGTACTTTGTGGGGTCATGGTGGTTTTACATTAGAATCTGCACATGGCTATTGTCAATTTGAAAATGTTTTCAGCTGCCTCATCTGTACATTGATAAACTAGGACTCTATGCCAGGGCTCTTGGGTGTATTTGTGGACTTGTCAGCATTAAGTACTATTCAGAAACACATGCTAATTGAAAGCTGATTGATATGGACTTTTCTCTCAAAATTGTCTTACAGGTAGTAAAATTTTTGTCTAAGAGATCACAAGTCCTAAATAGTTTGTCTGATGAGATTATTTTAAATACAGGAGCCCCACAGGGCTGTGTTTTGTCGGTTTTGCTGTTCATCTTGTACAAGTGATTGTAGATCTACTGATGTACATGTAAATGTCGGAATCAAGAAATATGCTGATGACACAGTTGTGGGTCTGCTGAATGGTAGCAGTGGCTGTAATTACTATTGAAATATTGACCGTTTCTCGGTTTGGTGCAAGAATAACTATCTCATGTTGAATCCCACAAAATCGAAAGGTTTTAAGTTTTAGGAGATCTCCCTCTCAAATGCAGCCATAAGTTTTAAATGTTAGTGATATTGAAATTATTAATGAATACAAGTACCGGTACCTGGGTACCACAATTGACCATAAACTTGATTGGATTCCCATGCAAAGGCAACCTTTTCAAAAGATCAAAAGAAGAATGTACTTTTTGTGAAGGCTGAGAGGAGCCCGTTTCAAGACCAGTTCTTGGCCTTTTTTAAAAGGCATTAGTTAAAAGGAGAAAGTCAAGGAAATTTGATGTAATGATTAACACCCATTCTTCACCTGTTACCAACGACACGATTCCTGAAATCCTTTGTTCCACCTCAGTTCATACCTACATGTATAATTCCCATTTTTAAAGATTTCCGTACAACAGACTCACCTGGCCCTTATATCGGCTCACTTACACAAAATACGATAAGAGTGACCTGTTAATTCTTCGTCCCGTTTAATTATCATTTGTAATACATTAATTAATTTTTCAGATATTTTGTGCAGTATTGTGAACCTGCAGACAAAGCTAATTTCCACGTATGTTTGTATATTTTGGACAATAAAAAACTGAACTGAACTGTACACAAGGGGATAGATACATGTACATGTATGTGCTTGGCTGGTCTGACGTGCATTTACAATGTACATGTGCATGTAAGACTGGCTCAGGAGAATGGTCACAACTGTAATGCCCGAGCCAAGGACATATTGATTCCAAGCACATTTTTATTCCCATTCGCAAATACTGTTTAAATCTGAGAGCCAAAAGAAGTCAATATATGATAAATTGCCAAGGATTTTGTTCAAGAATGTTACTTTCATTTTCCTGAACACCCCCATCCGTTTTATGGAATGTTCCTTGTGCAAGTAGACTAAAGCAGTCCAGAAGAATCTCCGTATATGGACTTGGCATGTGTATGGCTACTATAGTTCTGTATACATGTAGGCTGCGGCGCACACCGACTTTTGACCAATAGGAATGGATTAAACTATCTTGTATCCCGGTGCCAGTGCGTTTTCTTTTGCAGCAGGCATTATCGAATTGCAGTAGGCTTATCAAATGTGAATAAATGTTGCACATTGTGGAATAGGAAGGTATTTATGAATGTGTCTTAAATGTACATGAACAGACAAGTAGATGGTGTTGTAAGGAAGACATTCCAAGTCGGTACCAGTTACTTATCCAGTCTCAAGGCACATCACGTACAATGGTGTTCTTCTTGGTCTTCAATCATTGCTCATCTCCTGTTACTTTTGAGTTGACTTGTAACCCAATACTTGATAAATTACATGAGACTCCAGATTGACTGGATTTCAACTCTGTTGTAATGAGATCAAACTGTCGGCGGGAAAGTCTGTGTATAATTTTTGACAGTGTACTTGGTTTATGAACTGAAACACCTGTGCCCATTTTCAATTAACATACATGTACTGTACGTGTACTTTACAAATCTGATCATGAGAGTACCTTTATTGACAAGCTGAAAACTCTCCTTATATAATTCAACATGGTATTACACACTGCTATATTTATTGACAGCATTATACTGTGAAATGCAGGGGCTCATATCAGTTAGGATTCAGAAAAAAAAATGTGACTCTCATCTGTTGAATTTTGATGCACGGTCTACTCATTTTGTTCCTCTTCACTACGGTAGCTGACAGAGATGAGTAAACAGCAATTTCAGGAGTTGTCTGGGGAGATCACGACGGTCCAACAGGAAATCGAGAAGGCCTTGATGAGGAAAGCGGCCAACGTAGACGGTACGTATAGTACATGCCCTCTCCCCCAATCAAATTGCAAAAACTGATGACGGTAGAATTGTCACAACAGTTGCAGCTTCAAATTCATCAAGCATCAGTTCAGTTACACTCCAACTAAAAAGTTTGTCCTTCCAGAAACTGAAACCAAACATCGCTCTCTAAATGAGTAGAGCAGAATTCAGTTGATGATTACCATTACCAGACACTGTAGTGTGTTCTCCCATCATCCTCAATTGTATAACTTTATCATATGTTATTCATGTACATGTATGTATCTAGTGCTGGCATACCGTGCATGCTCAACTAGATTTTTTTGTGAAATGTGGGAATTCAATCCATCTAAATATATCACTACCAAGTAAAAGTTGGAAGCCAATGCTCATCAAAAGTTCAGTTTAGCCACTGAAAGGAGAATTCATCCCATGGCTCCAGCGTACAGGTCTGAAGAGAATTATCCCAAGCATTTTGCTGGCTCATTAATCAGTTAAGATCAACAGGGCACTGGAAATAGATCGTAATTTGCCATGGTCAAGGTATTCCGGGCAGGTGTTTTCATCAAAGCTGCATTGAAAGACCACATAGTTAAAATGGTAGAATTCTTTGGATTCCGAATCCCTCCCGCTTCTTTCGTTTTGTGGGGGATGGTCTCTTTTTGTGGATGTCGGCAGCATCTTTCATGGAAGTTCTGGGTGGGGGGTGGTGAAGGATAGTCCACAGGGACCCGAGAGATGAGGTGATCGTTCTAAGGCCCAAATTTTTTAATTCTTATTTTTGGGGTGTTAAATCCAGTCCAGGCTATTTACTTGATCTAAATGCTTCTCCTCAGGGAACTGCTGAATGATTCGGTCATTTATTCTTGATAAGATCATCTCCACTCTTATGAATGATTGTTGCGTTTTGTTGGGAATGGTGTGGAGTAGCATTCTTTACACAGTCATAGCAATTGAAAAAAAATAAAGAAAAAAAATAGTAGAACAAAATACTTCAAAATTTTGTGTACACAACTTCAAAATCATTGCATTATCCTCCAAATAAGATGATATTTGAAATCATATCATATGGTACATGTACATATGTATGCTGTGCTTTTATGACATTGGAGCTATGGTGACTTGGTTACATGTATGATCCAAAGTGTGCTTTACAACAGGTCTTTACAATTTTACATTTTGAAGCTAGTGAACAAAGGTTTACACTTAAGAGACCTTAAGTTTAATAAAGTAACTGGTATCCTGAAAACTACTGCAGCTATCCATTTGGGATGCCTGCTTCCATCTAACCATGTCAGCAGTGAGTGCTTAGACCCATCATTCAGTTCTCACCCCGGTATTGCAAAAACATGGCCCGCAGTGTGCGTGCGTGTCTGTGAGTCCTAAAGACCGCCATCTAATGAAGACTTATTAGAGGCATTGTAGATTGCACTAACTGGGCTAGAAATGTGCGGTGCCTGAAAGACTCATAAATTGTTTTTGGACAAGTTGACAGCGCACGCAGTCCTCTGGCAGTTGCTGTCATGGGTTTCCTTTTTTTCATGATCGCATGAGTCCCCCTGAACTGAGAGTTTTGCAGCTTGTATAGCATGCATGTGATTTCCTTGAACAGTTGCCCAAAGGATGACACGTTCTTTCAAGTGAACCCGTGTACGTACTTGAAGTTGTCAGTAACTTTTAATTTGTTGTTTGAGAAAGCTCTGCTGGTGATGTACACATGCTCAATCACACCAGATCCAGCACAGGCAACATATTGCATGTACAATGTGACTGACATGAAGGCAAATGTGCGTGAACATGAGAACGGATCCAGGTGTAACATCACATAAACTGCCGCACTCCGTGCATGTCTGAAAGTTCTCCAAAGTTTGCCTGGCAGAAATTGCTTGGGGGCCCCAGTTAAATTACGGCCTCGAGGTAAGAATGCCAAGAGAGTTCATGCATTTTATGAGCATGATGAGTTATGTGTCTCATGTTTGATGGATGGGCCGTCGGTGTTGTTTAATGACACTCATTATTAATGCAAAGAGAAGGCTTGCAAGAGCCGCAGATGGACGTGACCTGCCAACAGTTGCTGGTACATGTATGTACATGTACATGTCCTACATAAGCCTCACCTTTTTGGGGGGTGGAGCTGAAGTATTTTTTTTGGGGGGGGGAACTTTTTTTGTTGCATTTGTCATTCGTTGTTGGGGTGTGTGTGGTTTTCATTCACTGGTTAAAAACCTGATGCAGTTATAAAGGGATTAAAAGTTGAGATAAATTACTTTGTTTCGTAGGAATTAAGACAGCACAAGTGGTGGTTTTGTTTGCCCGTGGGATTCACTATCCCTTACCTATGGCCAAAGATTTACTGCTAGAATTGTCTTCATTTTTTCAGCTTTCGCAAATTAGATAACTCTCCCCGACCAAAAAGTGGATGCTTTTTTACTGCATTTTAAAATGAACCACCGGTATGTGCACTGTGTATTTACAAACGGTCTGTGTCTTGAAGGAGATGCATGTATTTTGTTATTTTAGATGTACCGGCACTGCACATAAATTTCAGATTGTGAATTTGAATTATTGTTGCCCTCACCATCTTGATAGTAATTCAAGAGGCCGTGCAAAGAGCACTGTGGCCTATTTTCATTTGGACTCAGATCTGAAAAGTACAGTGTCTGTGTACAATGCACTTGTACCCATGTACATGTATGTATAAGTAGGCCTACTGTAGATTCCATACTTGATGAGACTCATTCTACCGGTATGCATACAGTGTACGTGTACCTTTACATGTACATGTATATTTGTGCATGTACATGTAACCATATGTCTTTTTGAAACACCTGTGCATGTACGTACATTACCTTTAATCATCTGATCTTTATTTGTGGTGGCTCCTACGTGTAGGACATACAGTTGTATTCAGATGAAACCTGACCAACTGTCTGCAGCCAAAGTTGGAGTAACGGAATGAGCTATGAGCTACCTGTAGTGGGGTATTTTGAAAAGACAAGGTCATTCGAGACCAGAGCAGTGTCACGCATGGGAGTAGGCAAATCGCTGCATTGTCTGGGCATCAGACCTTATATATGCATACTGCTGTTTCTGAATAATCTTGGATGCACTTCGTTTTGGGCATGTGCTAGTTGTAATACCAAGCCGGCACCTTGGCACTGCCAAGTTTGAAATGTCGAGGGAGTTTAATGCTTTCAAATACTGTAAATTACCTTACGCCACATATATACATGTACTATACCCCATGTATACTTTGTTATGTGAATATTGACAGTTATACATGTTATATGGATGCACACAATTGCAATTGTTCATGGAAATCCCTAACCTATGACTTGAGCAGACAAACTTCGTGGCAAATTCAACACATGGACAAGCCTCTTGCGTAGTACTTGGATTCTTAGACTTTCATATACAGGAAGCTTTATAACCACATGAATAACGTTTCCCTACGTAATTCCACAAACCGCATGTTATTAGGCTCCACCTTTTACTCCTTATTTGTGAAAGATCTGTGCCTTACATATTTTATGAGCCCACGATAACTCCTCTCGATAAGGTGATAAATTCTCCACTGTGGCTGCAGCAAACGTGTGGAACCAGTTTCCTCAGATTGTCAAATCACCCACATCCATCACTTCTCTTGAAGAACAATATGAAAGTTCCCCACAAAAAGAAATCACAGGGGGCGAGGCAAGGGGACCTTTGTGGCCACTCAATCTTATGGTTGATCGCTGTTAGTCTTGTGTTGAACAACTCTCCTAGCCTTTCCCTCATGATGATCCGACGATTAGCTGGAGCCCACCCTAAGCGGTGTAACATTCCACCGTGGTGTTCCAAGTTTTGCTGTAACTGCGGTACAATCTTGTCGTTGATAATCTCAAGGTAACGTTCACCATTTATATTGCCATCAAAGAAACAGGGTCCAATCTCCACACAGACCTATCCAAAGAGAAATCTTCTTTGGGCTCATTTTCACGTAAAACTGAAGTTGGGTGGGGTATGCATCGGAGCTATTCCCAGACATTCTGGTTATCGACTTGGCCATTCATAAAAAATGCTGCTTCATCCCCAATCACAAGGTGCTCCAAGAATCTGGGTTGCCGGTCAAGGAACCACTGGCAAAATCTTAGTCATCTGGGTAGATCTGCATCAAGGAGTTCGCGTCGCCTGTGCATCTTGTAAGGGTACCAATGGATGTCCAATCGAATAATCTTATGGAAAGAGGATGGTGAAATTCCTAGCCCGTTTCTCCTGGCAGACACGTGCGGATCTCTTTGTAGCAATTCATGGACAGCCCCGATGTTTGCATCTGATCTTGCCATTCTTCGTCGGCTTAAGCGACCCTTGATGAGATTCAAGCTTGTCCCCTACCTTTGGTACTTTTGGATGTTTTCCAAATTGTCAAATTGGCGGGAATGGCACGGTCAGGAAAACGCCGACCAAATGCATCTGCTTCTTGCTGGAGGTTTCCAGTCTTCAACCACTCTGTTACCACAAGCGCACGCTGCTCAGTTGTAAGTTGCATTTTCCTGGTCGGAGAAAATGAGCAACTTTTCCAACTTTTAAGGAGTGTGCATGGAAATAACATGCTAAGGATTGCATAATTTGGAGGCCCAACAAAGCCTTGCTCTGGGCAGACAAGGTTCTTTGCCAAAACATCTATCTGGTGCAAGACCAGTTCTGACATGGGTGATTGAACTGCTTCATGCTCAGTCATCTGTGACAGTAAATTGGATTTCTTGGTATCATAAGAAAGAGGACATCATTAGTTAATAAATGGTGGTTGCCAATTTCCAAAATATTTAGCCATGTCCAAGAAATGAAGAAATTAATCTCAGTGTCCTTTTTAAAAAAAAAAAACTCTCTGTATATTAAGTTACCTCTGAACAATGTTTGTGTCACTACTCACAGTTTACTACCCATAAATGTATGGTACTTGTTCATGTACAGCGTAAAAGTAGTATGGACAGGGAGTCTTTGGAGTGTATCTTGGTATTTCCCCCAAATTTTGCCCAATTTTGACCTGTTCTGAACCCCTCCAACAAACTGTATTGACACTATTTAAATGTCTAATAATTAGGACTTACCCGTACAATGTACATGTAGCCGGTGTCCTCATTGCCTTATACGGGTTGCTCTTCACAATACTGGTTGCATTACATGTGTGTGTATGGTACCAGTAGGTTGCTCACATGCACGTACATGTAATCTTTCATCAGTCATGTTCAATTAAGAAAATCTTATCCTTGAACACCTACCGGGTATACATGTGCGTGGTTTGTTTCCGGGTGATACATTTTTGTTAGTGTGAAACTCTTCACATCATTTATCATGTGCAATATTGGCTCTGTGTTCAATTTCAAGTGCAGGTCTCTCGTCAAGAAGGGAGGCAGAATTACTGGTATGCAGTATGTGTAGACATTAAGGGGCTGCATCGATATACCTACCGGTACATGTATTTAAGAAGTTTTTGATTCGTACATGTAGTCAAGTGAAGTATTTACCCACCTGTGTTTTGAATGACACTAAGCTGGGGGAGGGGGAGATATAAGCACATGCACACCCTATGCAAAGGACTGAAGGATTAATGAGGCTTTCACGTCTGTGAGGTTGTGATGACTTCAGTTCTGTGAGATTGTAACTGAAGAAACTGTTTGTCTCTTCTCTCTCTCTCAGATGCTAGCATCGCTGATGACTGTGATGGGGCTGATATCGTTGACAGGCTCAGTGAAGAGAACCATAACCTGGGGATTGAAGAGCACATTCCTCATCCTCTGAGGAGTGGCAGCGGAGACACGCATGAGGAGAATTCTTCTCCTGCATCTCGAGATGCCTTCAGCCGCCTCCCTGATGGGAGCGATGAACCCAGAGCAGAATCAGGCCACGAACTCGCTGGCGCGGGCCCAGCAAAAGTAGGGCACGCCTCAGCTTCAGAGGGGGAGAGAGCAAGATCACAGACAGTAGACTCACCCTTGGGGGCTGCCGGCCCCCGTGCTCGGGCTGTCCCCACCCCCAGGGTTGATTCCCCCGGGGGGGAGGGAGGAGATGTGCTGAATTCCTTGCTGATGCCCCCTCCCTGGAGCGAGGAGGCCGAGATGACTCAGGGTCTGCCCCCCTCGGCTCTGTCTCTGGGTTTGTCAGAAACCATCGAAGAGTGCATGCAGCCAACAGACAAGAAAGGTCAGAGACTAGGTCATCTTGTTCATCAGCTTCTGAGAAGCTGTAGTTGAAATCATTGTCTCAAGGTACTCTGGAAACTGAGGGAAAAGCTTTCTCTCCAATGTCCGAATCAGGAAATCTAAGTGTATCAAAGTGGTCCACTTCTGGGACTCCCTGACATGTACATATACTTGCCAAACCTTACATTTTCATAGTATGCTAGCCTAAAGGCTGTCATCCGCTAGTGTTTTGTATAGTAGTAAATAACGTCTCAAGCCATATTGTTAACAAACCCATTTTTGCCTGAGAATTTATTTGACTGCACTTGAGACTGCAGGAGACACTGTCGGAGAATGTCTTTTTTAAGCAACTGGTCATGGGAATGGAATCATAACATGAAATTCTCCCCTCCCCTTTCAATTTATTCCTCTTAACTGAAATGGGCCATAGCCCTCAACAGCTACCGCGCTGTTTTGCGTATCGTACCCGGTCTGGTGCAGGTTCCTGTGTTATCAAAGCAAACAGGAGCACATTGTTTATTCACATGATGCCAGTCGTCCCTGTTTGGGAGCCGAGAATAGTTCCCTTCCATGTGATGGGAAACATTCAAGACAATTAGTGTGGCCTAGTACGTCAAACTTCAAGTGTATCACATTTGCGTTACATCATTTACATGTACACTGTACCAATACCTGTAAGCACATTAGTCATTGGAATATTTATAACGTACACATACTCTGATAAAGTAAGAGCACGATGTGCTTACTCAAAGATACCGAACCTGGAAAAAAATTGTGAAAAATGGATGCCACATTAGTTTCCAGTCTGCAGCTGACGCTGCGCATGTTTCTGCTTCACAAGACTTGTCATCGATTTTTGTGCTGTTCCCATGAGCCATTTTGTCAGCACACTCACAAGTGTGGGTAGGCAGAGAGAACACATGTACAATGTATATTGCACCCGGTTGGACACCCCACCCCCATCTGGTTTGAAATTTTGTCTAACTCACAAATTTATTTTGGAAATGTGATCCATTATGAGTCGTGTCACAGCGTAAGATATGTACATACATGCATCTAGTATGGAGATACGTGGACAAAGTCCGCCTATATGTATATGTAACGATTGATGAACATGTTCCAAAGAGTGTAATTCATCCCAACAATATGGCTGCTGCTGTGGTATACACGTGTAGGTGTAAGCCTCCTCATGCATGGACATGTACATCATCAAGTAACATGTAGGCATTGCATCATTTCTCTCCAAGGACTGTGTCAGGTAGAAGAGTTAGAACCAAGCCAGAGTGGCACCTTGAAGTGGAAACTACATGTACATGTACGATGTATATGTATCCTAAATACTGTACGTGTACATTTAGACAGTGGCCCACATATACAGTTGTACACTACAGTGGGCTTCTTGCAACACCAGACAACAAAAGCCTCAGTGATGTTTAATGCATATCATGACCTGAACTGCAGATGAACATGTACTGGTACCGTGACATGTACCATTGGCAAAAATGCGGGTGCCGAGTCTCTTGAACTTTTTTGAACTTTTTGAAAGAACTGATATACAAGAAACTTTTTCTCCCGTGCATAATTTAATCATAATATCTGTGGCTTGTAGTGAAGTTGTCCCCTCCTGTGGTTATTTGGACGATCATGGCATGACCCCTGTAATTCCTACATACATGTACATGTAATTCCGTGTTTGGATTGCGGTTTTTATGGCAACACTAATGTGTTCACAGGGTTTTAACACAGCCAGGGAGTAGCCATTATGTTGGATAATGTTGCAGCTTGCTTGGTTACAGTGGATTGTTTTCCTGAAGCCGAGATGCTTTACGATTTATTTTTGTTTGGATAGAACACTGCCATACATGTACATTTATGTCTAGTAGAAAGATGTTACTAGAAAACCATTACTCCTTAGTCCCAGGCTACAGCAAACATCCTCTTTGAATCATTTGAATGATTTATCGCTCATATATTTGTAGATCCTTGTCAGAATGCAAGTACTTGTACTTTAAGCTAATATTTGAATGACCACTAGCCTAAAATTTATAGCATTGTGTGTTACTTGGCATTTGTTATGGTATTGTGGCACCTGGGCAGAAATCAAAAATTAAAATGTCAAATGGCTACATGCATTATTTGGCATGCAAAACAGATTATCCACTCTGAACACAGGGCGAGGGTTCCCTTCATTTTCTCTGTTTTCTCTGAACGATGCAATCTACACTCAGAATTCGCATCTTGGCATGAACAGATAAACAGCCCTTTTAAGCTTGTTATACATGTAGTTGAACTCTGAAGACAAATGACACTGCGTTCGATTTGGATGCCTCCATATTTATTAGTTTACTGATACATGTAAAATCAGAGAAAACATGTTTTCCTTAGAGGTGCTTTTTAAAGAAACAAGTGTCAGAGCTTATGCAGTTGGTTTTATGAAGTGGAGTTATAAAATGTAATTCATAATAAAAGGTGCAAACGTAATGTAGGAGCTTGAGAATTTCACAGTAAGCATACTTCTCACGTTGTTTTCTGGTGTATTTCCAATAAAAGTAGGTCTGGGGCCAATTTCATAGAGCTGCTTAAGCACAAAATCTGCTTAAGCGGGAAAAAACTTTGCTTAATAAACAAAGGTTACCAGCTCAAACTCTATCTGATTGTCATGCTAACCAAAAAAACCAGCTAAATACAATCCCAAAACAATAAATATCACATGGAGTTTTGACTGGTTACCTGGTTTATCAAGTAAGGTTTTTTCGCACTTCAGCAAATTTTGTGCTTAAGCAGCTCTATGAAATTGGCCCCTGGTTGTAAAACACCTAGCCATGAATTTCAGACAGTTACATAAAAATGGACAAGCAGATTTCCACTGCTGCTGGCAAAGATTCAATGAAATATTAATCATCAGGTTCATTAATGGTAACTTGTCAACGCTGTCAACTCTGGCATTTTGGAACTGGTGTTTTAAGAACCAGCACCTTTTCTTGGGAAAAGTGTGACTCCTTGTTCATGTATGATGTACCTTGTTCTATGCGTACAAGTACGTTTGTACTTGCTAAGGGAAAGCACATTTATGTGTACATGTACAGACACGTACCTATGCACTGTATACACCAGTATGGTTGAGATTTGGTACAGTATGTGCAAAGATGAAAGAAACACATGTATGTACATGTCACTGTTTTTAGACTTTCAACAGACTTTACCTTTTCCCAAAATCCAAGACATATTTTCTACAAGAGTTTTTTTTCATGCTTCAAAAACATGCTTTGAATATGCTTGTTCATGAAAGATAGGTACCCCTTTCAAGAAAAGTGTTTTTTTTTTCTTCCACAGCTTCTGAAGAAGAGTCAGGTGACTTGGACTTGACGGGCATCGACGACAGAGAAATTGATCTGGTTTGTCTTATCATTATCATTTTTCTCGCCTCATACCTGCGTCTACACCCATCCTTAACCCCTCTCAGCCCTCAATCCCTCTTCACAAAAGCATCCATGTACAGGTGGTTGATTATGTTGTTTTTCTGTGATTTCAGTGAAATGATGTTTATTAGAATTTCAAACTTTTGAAAGTTTTATTCCATGGCCAGAGATTCTGTTCAAAGTCAGCTGTGGGCTCTAAATGTTAATGTTAACAAGGCTGCAAACAGTTCTATGCAGCTGTCCAAATGATGGTCAGTTTTATCAATTGAAATGAGGCCTGGCATGGAAGTGTACTCAAGGAGAGCTTTATTTACAGTAGCACGTGCATGCTCTGTGGACTGTGAAATCGGGGCCATGAATTTGAGCCGAGATTCATGCCCTAACCTGAGCCATTACAGTTTCTCAGTTTGTTGGTCCGACTGAAATCAGTTGCTTCATTGAGTGGTCACTAATGAGGCATATATGTACATGTACGTGCAGTTGAGTTAGATTCAGGAATTGTGCGAACCGTTCCCCCAGTTGATTGAGTTTTTATTTTTGTACAAGTGCCAATCCACATGTACTTGAGAACTAGGACTTACAATATGTTTGTGAATCATTCTTTATGATGATCATTAGTCTTTACATTTCAACTTTGAATGCTCCTTAGACTTGTAAGATTCTCAACATTGCAAAGATCTACACCATTATACAGAAGGGATTTATAAGCACCTTAAAAGATGCAATATATTAGTAAAAGAAATGTAAGTGTAAGGTAATAAAACGTAGTTAGACATAAGTTAAGAAGATTGTCGTAAGTTAAAGCAGTACATACAACCTGAACTACGTCTTCCGATGTACAAAGGTGTGTCTGAAAAATATACATCTGTCTCTTGGCATAAAACATAGTAAAGGAGGCCAGTAAGTTACTGTCACGTTAGCAATTTTTCCATGATGGTGTGACATTTTTGCCATGTCTTGAACAATCTGCAAGGACTGTTCTTTATGTGTGTCATGTCGGTGTGGAGGCCATTACTGGATCGAGACCACAGAGTGGTATCTGTTTTGGAGGGGAAAAAAAATCAATGTCCATCTCAATGTCCAAACTGACCGGCAAGTTTTGTACCATCCATTTCTAACAGCAAACTGCAGCCTGCACGCCTGTTCAAAAGTGCAAAATGATTTTGGGTTTCGAAACACTTGTAGAAATTTATATCGATACACGTACATGCATATATGGGAAATGTTACTAACGTGTTTGGTCCCCTTTAATCTGTTTTGTTTCTGTAGTTACAAATATTTATGCCTCTGTTTAACTTCACTGTAATCTTTTGATGTTTTCCCGTCACTTTGTTAGCAGACTATTACATACATGTAGCTGTAGGTACACATTGATGTACACACTTTTAAAGACCTCCGTTTACTCACGTTCACACTGTCATATACCATACTCACTTTTTGCTTTAATCAAAGCCCAAAGCTGTTTTGAGAAACTTGGCTTTCACATTTGTTGGCGCAGATTGTTGACATTTATTTTTTCTTGAGTACCTTTTTGGGGGAAAAATATAGAGATTGAAAGCCAAGACAAATTTAGCAACATCAAGATGCCAAACCAGGCTCCCACTATATCACTGTGAGTTTATATTATATTAACAAACCAAATATCCAGACTAAATGTTTTGAAGACAAAATAATTTTGCGATAGGCAGAACGACATGTGAACCCTGAGGATGATCAGTATCATATTCCGGAATTGTTGACATTATGCTTGGGAGACGTTTCAGTATGCTGGAATTACCTTCTGAAAAAATGTGACTTGGGGATGAAGGTTTCCATGGCGGAATTGCTGAGATAATCAAGAAATGCCATAAATTTGCCTGCATGTAATAAATCTGCCAGTGTGTGATTGTTGCATGCCTGGATATTTTGGGTAGTTCAAAGTCGCTGGGATGGGCCGGGGAGGGAGTGTTTGTATACAAACCCAGACATAACAGGGGGGGGAGGGAATAGGAGGCAGACGACCGTGTGTGCGGGGGCAGAGCTGATTGCCTGTGATGGGGAATAGAAATTAAGCATCTCGATGAAGTAAGGATTGTCACACCTGCATCGGTCCAATCCATCATAGTTACCATAGCAACTGTGCTTCACTTCATCTTGCCGGCATCAGATTTCTTGCATACTTTGTTGCCAGGTTTTCCAAATGTTAAAGATTAAACTTCTCTACAAGAAGGGGATGCTTTCGTCTTCTTTGCATATTGACGTGCCCTTGACATGTAAGTCTTGTGAAAACATGTTTACAAGACTGAGATAGCCGAGCAGAATTACTTGTCAGTGTTAAGAGGCTCGTAAGCAGTATGTTTTGATCATTACTGATAATTATTTTTAGTCAGTTCAAATATTGACTAGGCTTGAGGAATTAGTTATTAACCCTAACCATGCTGAAGCCAACAAGGTTATGCAGGATTTCAATGGTCTCTAGGGGTTAGGGTTCACCCTAACCATGCTGAACCCAACAAGGTGATGCAGGTTTTCAATGGTCCCTAGGGGGATAGGGTTTTAAGGGAATAAATACAACTGTGTACACTGCTTGGCCTCGGGAGACTGGCTGCTAGTAATGTTCCAAGCCTGTGGGGCATGATGTATATCAAGCACATATTTATTCCCATTCATACATGTAAATGCCTTTTTGAACAATCCTGTAATCCCATTGTTGAAATTTTGAATTTTTGTAATCCCGTAATTTTCATCTGTGTTGCCATCTTTTGCTGCTTCCTTTTTATTTCTATTCATGTTCATGGGCCACTGTTAAGTACTTGTTTCTGCTTCTCTGTAGTTAAAATGACGTAAACCAGTAATTACTGTTTCTACCATTGGTAATCCAGAGGGTCGCTTGGCGTGAGATATTAAATGAAACACATTTTGAAATTTGTTCGCACGTTCTCAGTGGACATGCTATTGAATTTAACCTGTCAGTTGGTAATTTAAAAATCGACTTACTTTGACAACTTTGGTCATCTGTTTTTCAACTAGGTACCAGTTTTATGTTGGCGCATGCTTGTGTTTGCGATTTACCTCAACTTTTCAGGCTTGGTCAAGAAGTTTACATTAATTACCTCCTTAAGGGTTTTTAAATTACAATTTATGTAAAAATGGTTCTCAATGGATAATATTTTGTAGTTCAAATTTCCTGAGCTTCAATGCCTGTCCACTTTTGGTGAAAATCTTTAGCTTCTTTGGTTAGAAAAATACATTTTGAAATTGTGACCTCTCACCAAAAATAGATGAGGGAAAAGCAGGCGATATTCACATCAACTTTTTCAATCTGGGCAAGAAGTTTACAATTTATGAGATTTGTTTTAATCCCCCATTTACAAATATGCCTCCTTTACAACCTTCCCCCCTTTCCACGAGCTTCAAAAGTCACCTTCTTAAGGGGGAACAATGTAGCCTCATTTTGAGATTGTAAAATTACTCCAAGTACTGAATGTGGAATAGAAGTATGTCATTGTTCGGGGGCCCCTTTCGTTGCTGGCTGATGCTTTGTCAACTGTTTAAGACCATCCACGTGATGGGCTCTTATCCAATAGGAATGGCTGAACTGTCTTAGGTATTTAATGAGTATCCAATCAAATCAGCCATGTCACTTTCATCTACATTCATATATATGTTAGTAATTGAAGAGGTGGATTTGCATTTTCAGTGTTGTTTGGTTTGCTTTTTTAATTTTTTTTTTGGCCAACCTTGTCTTAATTTGAGTGAAAGAGAGATTCTGTACTTTGTTAACAGTATTTCTCTGGATTTTTTAATTGGGCAGGATTACACACAAAATCATAAAGGAAAAGATAAAACTTCTTTTGTTCCCACAATGGGTTTTGCCTTCCATGTATGTTAAGATCTCAAGCTTATTGAACATTACTAAGAATATTTCTAAAACCAAAATATTATGGTTGATTGACAAAACAAACTATACCCTAAAGCGATTTGTAGTCACATGGTAGAAAAGAAGGAATGAAATTTCAGTTAGCCAATAAACATTTGTTATGTGGAGTCAATCCTCATGACTTCTTCAGTTTGTCTTTGATTTATTTTATTTAGAGCCGATGTTACATGTACCATTTATTTATTGACTTCCCTTTGAAATGCTTCTTCTTCTCTGCACTCAGTTCATATTGAGCCCAGCTGAAGTTGCAATCAAAACGGAGATCTGGACGAAAGAGAACGCAGAATACCTCAAGCAATTGGAAGGTAAACAGACTTACTTTAATCCCCAAAACAAAACGAAAACACCTCAGGGTGCTCCTGCATTCTTTTTGGATGTGCGGCTGTTTTTATTTTTTATTACACCGCCTTTCGATTCCTCGTCCTGGCAAATCATCCACAGCTGACGTCTTAAAAATATGTGAAGGCGAGTGAATGTTGAAAAGCACCCGGGGGAGACATCAAAAGTGGCTAGCACGCACACACAAAAAACAACTTCCATCCCCGTAAATTCCTCATTTCTGTTGCATTAACTTTGGAGGTATTGATTGGACGGTGCTGGCGGTGCATCGACCAACATTCAGGGTTTGTCCAGCACTGGGCCGTGTCTCAGGCGGCCACAAACTGCGCCTCCAGCTTGCCTGTATTAATACCATCAATTTGTCAGCCCTGTTTGCTACTGCCAGAGTCAATTTGGCAAGTCCCATCTAATCTCCTTTTACATTTAAGGGGAAACCGGGCCTGTTGAACTTCCCTTTCAAATCATTTCAACTTGTGATGTCGAAAGGAGCCCTTCTATGCTTTCGTTTGGGTATTTTTTTTTTCTTTGGAAGCTGTGGTCAAAGAATCGTAGAGGAAGACTGAATGCTGAGCAGAGCTTTAATGTGGTGTGACAGAGCGGATGACCGTGGTGTGACCTTAGGAACACACAGCAGCAATTGTCTGTGAATGGCTCTAAAGAGGCAGTGATTCATGTGTGAAAGCCTCATTTCCCATAATCCTCAGCACCTGCTGTGCACAGATTGATTTATATGCAAGGCAGCTCAAGAAAGACAACAGGATCGAAAGTGCAAAGTTGACAGACAAATACCCCGCCCCTCTCCCCTGGGGAAAAAAAATGAAAACAGAAAAAAAGGAGATTTAAAGCACACACAAAAGCTTTTTTATCTGTGCCAATTTGTTAGGGCATCTTGAAAAATGAAAGTAGATTGAAATTTTCCAGTTGACATTTAGAAATAGATTCTCATGCCAACATTTGAAAAGTTGTGAAGTAGATTTGCTATTGCATGTATTTCAGAATCAGATGTCGAGTGAAGTGTCAAATGAGACATTACTCAAGAGTTGAAAAAATATCTCTCTGTGATATGTTTCTCATACATAGATCTTAATACATCTCAAATATTACAAAACAAAACATGGCTAATTCTTGTTAATTTTCCACAAAGCCATACCATCTTGGGTATTTGGTATAGATGTAGTCTTTTGTTCCACAGATAAACAAGCCAAAGAGGCAATGGAAAAGGAGCAAGGAATCACCAAGGAACCAAAGAAGGTAAGACATGAGTGTGGCCAGCCTCTGGCCTGAGCCATGTATAGAGGGAGTTGCGACATGAGTGTCACCAATGCTGGAAACAAACTGGCAGACTGTATGCATCAGTGCACATGGACAGTCGGTATACGATAGCCGTATGCTCTACCGTACACATAATGAACGGCCCTTTTGTTGCCAAAATCTGAAGCTGGCATGAACCCTGTCTATACAGCTCTGCCTCTGGTATGGGAAGCATATATAAGACACCAGACCTGATTACCCAGTGCATCAACATGTACATCCATAAAGGCATCCTCCTAAGTGTCTTAAAGCATAACCAGCAAGCAAACAGGGAACTTCCTATTAATGTAGATACCATACTCTTAGTTCTTGGCCTAAAAATCATGTGAGTGTTTATTATTTTGTTCATGCCTCATCTCACAGTGGTCAGTTGATCACAGCAACTATTTTGGAATGGTTAAAAGCCACGTTAAGCCTCAACTATGTGGCTTAAAGTATATTCTTTGGGTAGGGTTGTGACAGTTGATATTTTTACCTTGTGGATTTTTGACGGAGAGTTTGATGCAGTAATTTACATGTAGATACCACAGACCAATATTTTGTGCCATGCATTTAATTCATGTTATTTCAGAACAGGATGTATACTTGATGTTTGACATGCACTAGACCTGCTTATAGATGTAGAAATATGCCCCACGGATTATTGTTACTTACAACATGTACATGCATAGTTTGGCATGCATAAGGGTTTATCCACTACGAACACAGTGTGAGGGTTCCCCTTGTTATCTCTGTTTTCTCCAAATGATGCAATCTGCATTCAGAATTCACTTCTTGGCATGAACAGAAAAAAAAGCCCTGTATAGCTTGTTATAGTTGAGCTCTGAAGACAAATGACACTGCGTTTGATTTGGATGCTTGCATATTTTATTTGAACAAATAAAATCAGTTTTCCTTAGAGGTGCACTTTAAAAGGGAGAAGAAAGGAGAAATAGGTAACCATTGCTTTGAGATATCGATAATTGGGGTGCTCCTAAAACCAGACATGCAAGCACATCAATAATTGACATTCTAGTGAAACCGAACATACAAGTACAAATTTGTGAGTATTCCCTTGTGTAAAAGCTCACATTTTCCCTTGTCTCCGTCTCACTCACGTCAAAGTGCCTTATAAATTTAGGATGCTTTTGCCACATCACAGTCAATAAATACCGCCAACTTTTCTCTCGTTCCAGAGAAAAAAGCAAGTGCGTAAGCCGCCAATTCAGGCCAGCACAGCCGGGGAGGCTATTGAGAAACTCCTGAGAGAGAGGAAAATATCCAGTAAGATTAATTACGAGGTGCTGCGAGATCTGAACAGGACATCAGGTGAGGCATCTGAGCGCATGACCCTTGACCTCATTCAAGTATTTTCTAAAAAGTGGTAAAAGTTTCTCTTCAAGTAATGCTGTTTGTGTAAACCTGACAGTTAAGATATGGAGAACATGTACATGTGCATGTTATAGAAATATTCTATTGTGTCACAGGTGTGCAAGTTTTTCTCAGTCCAGATGACGTCCTTTTTAACTTCCAAGTCATTAAAAATTAAAAACAGGAAACAGTACAAAGCCTTGTGCTGCTTGAAATTGTCAATATCATTTGAAATGTTTTTGTGATGAGTGACACACATATATTTGTACACCAGATTTCCTTAAGAAGTTGAGCACATCACATACATGTAGCCTTGAAAAGCCATTTAACGTATTACTGCAGAGGGGTTTGGTGTGGTTTTCTTCTCTCTAAAGCGTGAACTCTGTATGTTGATCCAACCAAAGCCTTTTATTGCCTGCATTGTATTTGTTACAGTTGTTCCATGATACTCGTTGAATTCTCCCATTTCTCCACTGCTGCAGGTTACCAGCAGCAGGTACCGTCAACTCCCACCACGCCCACTGTCTCGGAGAGTCCCCTCAAGAAGACCTTGCCTGTGAGACCCACTGCCTCTGCTAACAAGAGGCCCAGGCCTCTCCTCGGTGCATCAGCAAGGAAAGAGGTAATGATGTCATCGTGGCGGGAGATTTGACAGGTGTTTTAATCCTGGAAGAATTATTCTCAACATTAGTGTCAGGCTCTCCAACCTCTGTGCTTTAAGCCACCATTGTCTACATTGATAAGCAGTTTGTTTCAGCCTGTTACCTTTTACCTGTTCCCTCTGATTGGACTTTCTAACATGGCATTGCAGTCAATAATATGTCTTCTTTGCTGAAGATTTAGAGCAATGAGAAATGTACTTGCTGTCATGAAATAAGCATCAAGTATGTAAGAAGACAGCATTGCAAAACGGTTTAGGTACCAGAGATTGGGTTTGCTTCTCAGTTTTGCTTCGTTGTGATAGATGTGAAAGTAATACCCAAATAAAAGTACTTGAAGCTGTGTCTGTCTTGAGGTGTGTGCGGAGTAAAGCAGAGTTGAAAGAATCAGGATTCATCAAAAATAGGAACTGATTAGTTTGAAAGTACAAAATGTATTCATCAAGATCAGTATAGACACCAAATCAGAACGAGACTTACAAAAAGCCCCTGGACTCTGAATATTTTCAGGTGTCTGCTGCCAAGCACCCCAAATTAGAGCTGGGAGTCCAACCCTTGAAATCCACCTCATCAAATGTAGTGGTAGAGTCTGGCCCAGTGGAGTATGCTATAGAAGATGGACCGCCTGATTCTATGGATGGGGGAGGAATGGAGGAGGAAGTAGGAGGGGAATACTACGAAGAAGAAACAACATTAAAAAGTGCTGCTCAGCTATTGGGCCATGGTGGTAAGTTACGTTACTGATTCTTCCCCAAAGTTGTCCAAATGAAAGAGTGCCAGTCTTGGCTCAAGACCACATTATAAATCGTAAATCTCTCCCCAAACCCCGCGTTTCAAAGTTCACATCAGGGATGGTAGAGAGTCTGATATGATGTTTCAGGCCTGACAAGTCTTTTCCATTAGATTGGAACATTAGGAAACTCTGGCGTGCACATGTTAATTGGGTATGCGCATTCTGATGCTAATTGTCTGGGTAGCCACTCACATTGTCTTTACTGTCTGATTGTTATTTCAAAAACCCACATAGAGCTGTTTTCCAAGAACATTTGCGTCGTTTCCGTGAAGGAAGAGAAATTGGGATATTGTTATTTGAAAAAACTTGAAGTGAGATTTGTTAAGACCAATACGTCCACACACCAGCTCAGAGCGTGACTGACGTGAGCCTTGACTGGACTCTGAATATATCCACGTGCTGCTAGTCACTCCAAATTTGAGTTAGTAGTTTATCATTCTATCTGGTATTGTAAGTTTTCTGAAAAGCTCGGAAATACGCCTGTAAATTGATGCAGAAGGGCACTCAAGACACCACCAGCTGTGAGAATATCACCAAACGTTTTGGCAAAGAACTTTTAAGTTTTGCTGTAAAAAGCAGACATTTCATTCGAAGCTAGTGAGCTGGGCAGAAAAATTCTTTTTGTCACATTATTCCTGACAAAGACATTCCATACATGTTTGTACCTCTGGTATCCTATGGTTATGGATGTGGAGATGTGCTCATTATAATGTAGTATATACTGTGAGTATGTGTGTGTCATGTCGACAAAATACCTGATTACATGTTTCATGTGGTTGGCCATCTGACTGTTGTGTCATGAGTGTTACGCAAATGTTTCCTGTATGATTTTCAACTTGGTTGTTTGAAAAGACACCCATTCCAGTCATAAATCCTTCACCTGTTGGAGGATTTAGGGATTTTTAGCTTAAACCCTCCTATGCTGAAGTCACTCTTTGGGTCAC